CTATATAAATTGTTCCTTAAAGCTAATATAACTTATAAATATTTTAATAATAATTACATTCCAGTCTTCTTATATTAAATTATAAAAGTTATTTATTATTAGCTATATCTAATTAACTATATTATTAGTGAGGTAAGTTGTAATAAAAATTATCTTATTATAATCTTATTTAATCTTATTAGCCTCTATATACATATTTATATTTATTAAAAATAACTTAAGTTTAGAATATATTCTATTAAACTTTATTAACTTAGATAACTTAACTTTATTAATAACTAATAATAAACTTAATATTATCTAAACTTCTAATTATTTAATATAATTCTTTCATTCAATTCTTTCTTATTTAAGTCATTCAGAGTATTCCCTAAGTTAATTCACCTGATTATCCTTAACCCTTAGCTCGTTTTTAAGTTACTATATATATTTAACTATCTAATTGAATTATTCTTTAAAAATAGCATAGTAGGCTGGTATCTTATTATTTTTATTATAATATGCTGCTGCCACATATTATTACTATCTTATAATAGCTTAGACTGCTTATTGTAGTTATTATCTTAAGATAGATAGACTATTATTGCCTATTATTTTAAATATTTAAGTAAAGACTTTATCTTTTATATTAAGGGTTTTAAATTATCAGAAACTTTGGTTAGATTATTATTAAATATAACTAGAATAACTATTAATAGGCAAAATTAATAGACTTTTAGTATATAAAAGTTATAATAAAACAAATAAAGTCTTAAACAAGATAGAATATCTTAATTAATAGAAAATTATATATTTAAGTTATCTTAATTAATTTAAAATAATAGAAGAAAATTAAATACATAATAAATAAACATCCTTTTATAGCCTTTCCTCCATTATAGCTATTATAGCTATTTCCTTTTATTAGGCTCTGATAAGTCTGATTATATCTATTATAGCCATGTACTAACAACTGGCTCTAATAGCCATGATAGCCCTAATCCTAATATGTCCTAGCTTTGCTCATGGCGTCTTTCGGATAATCCTTTGTTCCCACGCATTAGCGTTTCATATCCATTGGCTGTGACATTCTGATTCTCTGACAAGAAATTATTTAAATGAATTATGATTTGCTAATTGAAGGATATCATAGAATTGACTAAATAATAGAAAAGATATAGTGAATATATTATTTCTTAAGAATAAGAAAGTTGATTGAAGACTATATTAAGAAATGTGATAGTTATAATTATAATAAATTAATTAATTATTGACCTTATAGAAGAATGCAGATTCTAGAAATATTGATAAAAATATAATAGAAGATTATAATAGATTTTATATAAGACTTACTAGAGTTAAAGAATCTTATTTTAGGAATCATATATACTAAAATTATTGTTATTATAGATAAACTTATGAAATATATTATTTTAAAGCTAATGTTAAAGGATTTAATAGTATGATAATGTGTAATACTAATATTATAAGAAGTATTTATAATATTTAGATTATTAAGTAAAATTATATCTGATAGAGATAAGTTATTTATATTTAAATTTTAGTAGATAATTATGAAAAATTATAAAATAGAATATAATTTATTAATTATATATTATTAATAAACTAATAACTAGATTAAAAGAATGATTTAAGCAGTTAAATAATATCTAAGACATTACTTAAATTAGAATCAAGATAATTAAGTAGAGTTACTATCAATTGCTTAGTTTGTAATAAATAATATTATAAATATATTAATAGGATAAGTACTATATTTTGCTAATCTAGGAAGAATTCTAAGGATAAATTAAGAAAATATTAAATGAGAAGAAGTATCTAATAAAGTAAATATCTAAGTAATATATATATAATTGATATATAGTAATTTGTTAAAAGATATTAAATAAGCAGAAATAAGAATAAAAAGATATTATAATAAGAAGTATAAGGACGTGCTAGTATTTAAAAAGAAGGAGAGAGTTTATTTTCTATAATAAATATTAAAATTAAAAAATTTTAATATTAAAAGTATAAAATTAAATGATAAATTTAATATAGTTAAATTTAGACTATTTACTATTAAAGAAAAACTTATAAATAATAATTATAAACTCTAGTTATTAGTAAGAATATAAATATATTTAGTATTTTATATCTTATTATTAGAATTAACTACTAATCTAATAAATGAAGATGAAATAGTAAATAATAAAGAATATAAAATTAAAAGAATACTATAGTATAAGTTAGAAAAAGGATATATTTATTATTTTATAAGATGGAAAGGATATAGACCTAAAAAAGATATATAGGAATCTGTTAGATATTTGAATTACTTTGAAAAGATTTAGGAATAGAGATAAAAGTATGGTTAAGAAAGACAAAAGGATTAAAGTTGGTATTAAGGATAAGATTATTATTTTATAAAATAAAAGTAGCAGTTAGAAGCTTTTTAGTCTTTTATTATTTTTTTGCTTATTTTACTTTTATCTTTTTTTCTATTTTTTCTAATTATTCTAATTCTTTAATATCCTTGATATTAGATTAAATAAATTAATTAGCATATTTTTATAGTAATTTTTATTATTTATTAAGATGAGTATGTTTTATTAAAAAAGCTTTAATTTTAATATTTATTTTGTTATTATCCTCTTCTAAGCGCTTTTAAGTATAAAGAAATTTTTTCTATATAAGATTAGATAAAGCTATTAAAATGCACTTGTAATGACTATTTTACATATATTTGCTATAGTATGATAATATTTCTGATTTTATATAAATCTTATTTAATAAAGAGTAATAAAAATAAGATAAAAATAACTTTATGCTAGATTGCTTAATATATAGTATAAGGTTATTCTTGTTAATGTTTTACTTTAAAGATATGGTTAGTATAAAATTACAAGATTGTATATTTAGAATATTTAGAGAGTTAGGATTAGTTATCTATACTTTAAAGGATATAAGCTATTTATTGAGCTATTAAGATACTAGTTTTTAGAGGAGGGGATTATTAAAGAATTAGAATATTATAGCTAATAGATTAGGTTAATTATTATAGAATTAATGTATATTAGAATAAAGGATTATCTATAAAGTTTTAGGGTTAGGGTAATAGAGCTAGTAGAGCTGTCACTATATTAATTATGTTAGTTAGAATAGAGCAAATAGAGCTATTACTATATTAGTTATAATAGAGGAAAGCTATATAAAGATATTTATTTACTATATATTTAGTTTTCTTCTATTGTTTTGAATTAATTGTAATAATTTAAATATATGATCTTCTATTGATTAGGATATTTATAGCTTTATTCTTATTTCTTTTGTCTACCGAGATCTTTTAATCTTAGAAGCCTATTAACTTCGCCCGTTAATAGCTATCCTAGCTATACTCGATGGTAATCGAACCGAAGTTTCCGATAAAGTTATTAATAAACTTAATCTAGATTTAATAATATTAATCTAGTTATTTTAAAGCTATTCTAAATAATTTTAACTTTATATACTATTATATAGGCCTTTAAAAATGTAGTAAGAAAGTTAATTTTATTAATATAATTAAAGCTAAGTCTTATTTATTACTAATATTAATCTTCTAATTATCTAAAAGAGTCTTAAATCAACTTTTCTAGAAATATTTAATAGCTTTAAAAATTATATATAAAAGTAAGATTTAATTAATAGAGTTAACTATCTTAATTGTAATTACTTATTCTCAATTACTAGATTATAGTAGATGTAGATAGTTATATTAATTATTTTTAGTAATAATCTTTATACTTATATAGAAATTTATTATAAAGCTAGTCTTATTAAAGTTATAGATATCTTTTAATAGAATTCTATACTTAGTTATAGTCTTTTATATATAATTAAAATATTTCTTAATTATCTTTAAATTTTTACATTTAATATGCTTATAGTTATATCTTTATAAAAATTATAATTTTAGCTCTAATTAATGTTAAACTAGTTTATATATCTAGTTCTTACTAACTATTTGATTTCTATATTAAGAAAAAAGAATATTAGCTATATTTTATACTATAAAAAATTAGAAAGATAATTCTTACTTATTTAAATTTAATATTTATTTTATAAGCGATTTCTTTTTAAATTAGATTAATTTATGTCTATTAGTGCATATTTAAGATTATTATTAGATATCTTTTAGTTAATCTTAAAGAATTATTTAAGAAATATTATAAATCTTTATTGCTTGTTTAATATTAGGAATTTTTTTATTTTATAAATTAGAAATAGTTAATAAAATTTGTTCTTCTTATTCTTCAGATTTTGTATGATTTTTATCGCAAATTAGTGGTATATTGATGTGTTGAATATAGAGGGTTGAATATTTTGACGCGTTTTCGGCGGAAGTGGCGGGTCGGTGGTGGTGGCGGTTCGGGGGTGGATTACGTTATGCCGGAGATTTAGTTTCTTAATTTACTTGTACATTCAATTTTCTTCGAGGTTCTTTCTTGAGCTTATATGAAAAGTCAATTTTGGGTCTAATCTGCTGTTCTAATGGATTTTGATTGTTCTCATATCGAAGCACCTATCTAAGTAGGTAGGTATGGCTCCGTTGCAAGAGACGGGATAAGCGAATGCATATACTTTATCTATACCCGCGGATATCTAGCGGATATATATTTATATATCTATTTACCTAGTAAATTGACAATGCTACCTGTGTAACAGCTAAACACCTAAAATTCCGCTTGTATCAAATGACAGTGTTAGATTTTGTATTTAACTATTCCTTATGTGGTTACGAGTAACTCGCACACATAAAAAGCTTTATACCTTTTTGTTGCGGATAATAGACAGCAGACGTAGTGGAGACACTAAAGAGGAGCCAACCTAGCCTCAATGACTCACGTCATGAACCACCTTTACGGTGACATATCTCAAAGAATAATCTTAAAGAGGATATGATAACCAGCGCTGACTCGAATCATAGAAGTGCCTGAAAGGGAGAAAAATCTCTGTAGTCGCAGTCCCCGGTATCAACGATGACAACAACGAAAGGAAAGACCACTCCTGAAAAGGCGAAAAACAACCAAACAATCCCAGAATTTATCACTCAGAACAAAACACCAAATGAAAAACTAATCCCGGCCCTAGAGAAGCTTCTCCCAAGCTCTCTACCTGTTTTGCGCCGTATTCAGTATGATTGCGCACATCCGAGGGAAACTGCTCATTACGTCGTCAGCGCGAATCTGATTTCGGGAAATGGAGAAAAAGTCGATGAGCCATGGATTGCAGCTTATGTGGATCTATTTGCTGGCAGAGAGACTCAGGCATGGGTATATTCCAGTCTTGAGGCTGAGGTTTTGCCAGCGGATGACGATGATGATGGCGAGAAGAATATATCCGACTTTTCAGCCGTTAGTCAAAATAGGCTGAACATTGCGAGGGAGCAGTTTTGGAATCTCTTGCAGTTCATTCACCGCAACTTGATGCCTGCATATCTCTCTCATCTATCGGAGGTGGACGACAAACTCAATCGAAGAGAGGAAGAAGGCAATAATGTCGAGCCTAAGGTCAAAGTGATCGCAAAACACAAGGCCCCCGCTATACTTCTAGGGTCTCTACATACGGGGCTGATGAAATTACTTCTCGCAAATGACAACGACTCCTACACCAGTGCTAATTTCAAATCTGGATTGAAGGTTCATCGCTACGACACTTCGCCATATGTGAAATACATCTTCCCTTCGAAGGTCTTCCAAACTAGTGATGGACAGAGTAACGCTCTTCCACAGGGTTATTACTTTGGGAGAAATGGACTGCTGCCGGAACATGTTGAGCTGGTGAAGTCTCGCACACATATTCCACGGGAACGAAAGACGTTACTTAATATGCCTAGTGTTGTCATTTACTACAATGGCTCTTCTTCCTTCTCCTCGGCAACAGAATCACCACCGTCAGCCTCGCCTATTGCCTGGGGATTCCTCGCCTTTGATGGATCTCTGGCAACGTTACATGTTGAGCCCGAACATCGTGGCAAGGGCCTGGCAATCGCATTATCCAAGGAGGTTATGCGAAGAGGAATGGCGACGGGGTTCTATGGCTCACCGGAGGCAGCGGATTTGAGCTACGCGCATGCCGACGTCGCGGAGAGTAATGCGGCAAGTAGAAGGGTTATGGAAAAACTGGGAGGGCGCGGTTGGAGGTGGTCTATCACCTGGGCTGTTGTGGAAGTGCTGGATTCGTAGATATCTATTATTCATTATTATAGGAATAAAAATTTCTCATTCTTTTCCCTATGTTTGGTTTCGCCGTACTTTGCAGATTGCTACTTGTATGTTAAACGTATGTTAAATTGAAATTTGTAGCACGGTACAATAACAAGCATCATTGGTCTAGTGGTAGAATTCGTCGTTGCCATCGACGAGGCCCGTGTTCGATTCACGGATGATGCACTCATTTGATTTCCTTTTTTTCCCCTCCTTTCTAGTAATTTTTTTTTGTCATTTTTCATACACAGAGATCCTGATAACGCTAGTGATATGAAGTTGTTAATTAAATCTCTGTTTGTATTCTGAAAATAACTAGTCACCCACACCCTTATATAACTTAGTTAACTGCTAATTTGCTACTATAGTATGATAAGTACATCTATGTTACACATGTATATTTATGCCACACTTTATGGCTAGACCTTTTAGACCCGAAGAAGAATTAACAACCAGCCCAAATATCTTAAACTAAGCATTCAGATTCAACGGTGACGTGCATGAAAAGGAATTCAGTTCGGGATTCTCGAACGCCTCGATCAAGCCTGAAGTTAAGTATCAAGTCAGCTATATGGTCACTGAAAAGAATAGAGGAGATAAACCTTACCTTCGATAGCCGAATACATTCCTAAGCCACACATGGCCAGCGACGCGAGAAAGTAAATGACATGCCAGATGTTGATGCTAATCTGGAGGATACCACCGCTGAAAAACCCTCGTATCCATCGTCGGACAGTCGAAGTTTCGCGGACGACCTGGCCCGTGGCAGCATTGAAACCCTCGCCGCTTTCGGTGCGAATGGCGTTCCTTTGGATATCATAACCCAGGGCAAAGAGTGGAGGGAACGTGTACGTCAAGTTCAGCAGCATGGAAGCGGAAATGACACTGACGAAACCGAAATAGTCGGGAATAGCTGCTGCAATGACAAATGCGACGATCCACCAGACAGGCACTAATGCGGCGTAGATGATCTTGCCAGGCTTGGAAGTAATCGGAGGAGCTTTGAAAAAGTCTAGCAGGATGTTGTTATAGAATACCTTGATTCCAATGTTGCCGTATAGGGCGGCGGCAATAAATGCGGCAATAAGAGATAGCATATTGCCTACGGTTTGCCAGCCATAGATACTGACGCCCTGGTAGCTAGGATTGAAGCTGTATTGGCCCTGGTAGTGGTAGACAAAGCAACCGTAGATGAGGTAAACACTGTAGATGAAGAATTGCGCTCCCCACATGGCCTTGATAAAGTCTCGTGGACGTTTCATCTCTGCCATAAATTCCACAAACAGCTGGACACCTGCATACGCCAGCACCGCAGATAGAAGACCGTTGATGGAACCAACCAGCGAGTTGGGTGGCAGACCGTTGTAGTGGATAATTGCAGGATAAACACCGTCGGCATTTGGCGTGATGGTATCGGCGCTCACTGCACTGCCGGCCGATCCCAGGGTTGCAATCGCATAGTTCGGAGGAGAATGTGCTATGACACCCATAGTTATGAAGATAACCAGCAAATTTAGGGCCACGGAAAGGATGGCTACCCAGCCAAAAGACCGCAGAGTTCGGACTTGGGTCACGAAGAAGCCGACGATGACAAAGAGAACAGGGCACACGGCATAGCAAAGTCGGAATTTGGACACCTGGGAAATGTTTTCACCGTACTGAATGGTGACTTGGCCCAGTAGTAAGAGCAGTCCGATAGCTTGACAGGCGTTCGTAATGTATCGGGCAGTTCTGCCCCATGTTCTGAATGCGAGATCGCCGTAATTCCTTGCTGGAAACTCGTAGCTGTCGACTCCAAGGAAGACGTTCCAGACTAGATAGCCGGAGTATCCAGCCAGGAAGCCGAAGACAGTGTACAAGGCGATACCTATGGATTCCCCATTGTTAAAACATTTATCTTATTGTGAGGGTTCATATTCGACGGGCGATATTTACCTGGTCCCCAACCCAACGTGCCGATCGCGAATGCGGAGCCATATGGGCCGAGAACGTCCGTGGTGATGAGATAGAAGCCTTTGATGGATGTTTAGTTAGGAGATTTTGCAATAGAAACAACATCCGGCTAGTTTATGCTTACATGCTCCAGTGCCGGCGGTTCTGAGAAGACGACTAGCATTTTCCCACTCCTCGTCGGTTATTTCAAGACCATGGGGCAGATCTGCGGTGCCTTTCTCGCTCGGATCGGTATTCTGAGGCGAGTCCGGCGGAGCAGCCAGAGCGCCAGAGGTATCAACGTGCTTTTTCCGCGCGAAGAATTCGCGCCAAATGAGCTTAGGCGCCTCATACGATAGCTCCTTCTCTCTAGTTATCTTCGCGTAGTGGTGATACTCTTCGAAACAGATCGACGCATCGTGCGGAGGGCGATATTGGGGCTTGATGTACGTGCTCACGGCCTGCGCCTCCTCGGGCTGGTTGCCAGCAGGCTCCATGGTTGATACTTGATGCTGATGTGGTGCTCGGAGAAAGATGGAAGGGAGGAATTGGGCATGAAATGTTTATATGCTATTCAAATTTTCCGAGAACATGCGACTAGGGCTGAGGTGTCCGACGCTCTGATTGGTTGGCAGTGCTATCAATTGCTCAATAATCATGATGCTACATACTACGTTGACTAGTCCCCATCGGGTGCATGGCCTGCCTGTTTTGTTTAGTCGATGGAGCATCGCATGCTGCTAATCGTTCAGCATAACCCGCCCTTGCCTTGCCATAGGCCTGCTTGAGCCCATTTCCACTGTATGCTATCTGGAAGGATGGGCTATCTTATCTTCGGTTTCCTTCTAGGCTACTATGCAGCTGACAAGCCGGCATTAATTTGATAATAGTTTGGTTTCAGCTTTCAAGTAAGTAGCCCAGCAGGTACTCTAACTCCGAAGTCCGGAATGAGCGGTGAAGATCCAATTCCTATTAGGGCTAAGACCAAGTGCGAAGCATTTTCTGTTGTCTGATGAAGACTTTTCTTTTATTATCTCTGGACTGCAAACCTTCCAAGATTGGAAACCAAAATTTTATTTTGTTACCCCAGAAATCCCAGAATCTGCTTGCCCCACGTTTTGCCTGTTTGGTAAAATTTCCCGCCAATCAGAGAGTCTCCGGCTAATTAGAGACTCGCATTCAAGCCTTAAATTTCAGGCCATCAGCTTGTATAGAGTCCATGCACCATTGCAAGCCTGCAAAATATCATCAAATCTGTAGTATATGTAGATGATTATCACTAGATAATAAATTTTAGGACAACCATATCCCATTCCTTACAGTTGGACCAAGTTGACGCTGGGCAATATTAGCAGCCTGTATGACACCCCACGGGGAAGCTCTAACTATATGACTTGGCTTGGTGGATATAACCCCGCATGCACGGTGATATTAGCCTTGAAAGTTCCCACTATAAAGCTTGTGATTCTCCAAGTAATCGCTGTAGTCAGTATTTGCATAATTTTCTTGGGACACACAATCCAGCAAGCACTATGGGAGTTCCTTGGGTGAGCAACACTAGCCGCCCATCACGACAAGGACTGATCAAATAACCAGACAATCTATCTCTATGGCATTGCGCCCTGCACAGGCGGGCTGGCGTTTGGCTATGTATGTCTTATTCCATAAGCGTAGCCATATACTTATTTGTATAGGACACCGGTTCCATGAGCGGCATTCTAGTCATGCCTCAATTTCTCTCGTACATGAATTACCCTAGCAACTTCTTACAAGGTGGCATCACGGCTTCTATCCAGAGCGGCGCATTTGCAGGTTCACTTCTTACCGGGGCATTTCTTGCTGATAGACTAGGCCGGAAAAGAACGTTGTTGATTGGATCTGCTGTTTTCACTATAGGAATCATCATCTCGACTACCGCCAATAATGTCACGGCCTTGGTGGCTGGCAGAGTAATCAATGGCGTGGGGAATGGGTGTCTGGCAATGATGGTGCCAAACTACCAGAGTGAAATCTCGCCTCGGGAGTGAGTCGGCCAACTATCACTACCTTCTATATCCCTTAAGCTAACTGACAGACAGAATCCGTGGACGTATAATTTCCGTCCAGCAGTGTTTCATCAACTTTGGCATTCTGATTGCCTTTTGGATTCAGTACGGCACTAGTCATATGGATGGCCAGGCTGCTTGGCGGCTCCCCATCGGCCTACAGATGATTCCAACAATTGTGTTGCATATTACGATGTACTTCATGCCTGAATCTCCGCGTTGGCTTGTTCAGCAGGATCGACAGCAAGAGGCATTGCATGTGTTGGCACGACTACACTCCAAAGGAGATATTGATGATCCCTATGTGCGTGCGGAACTGGCTGAAATCATTGCTAAGATACAATGGGAGAAAAGCAATCCTCCAACGACCTATGTCTCGATGCTTTTTGGCGCAGAGGCACGACGTACCTGGTTAGCCATTGGGGTGGTGAGTATCCAACCACGTAAGAAATTTTATCATTCCTCGTGCATCTAATGCTTTGTGTATAGCAATTCTGGCAGCAAGTCACCGGTATAAACGTGTATGTGATTAAATACCTTTTCAGTCTTCTCAGCCTAAACACTAATATTGCATTAGTATTATGTACTACGCAGTCTTTCTCTTCCAGCAGGCTGGACTCGGCGCAACTTCAGCTTCACTTCTTGCCAACGGACTTCAGGGTGTTATTTTAAACATCTTCACCTTACCAAACATGTATTACATGGACACCTGGGGCCGAAGACGACCAATGATAATTGGCGGGGTTGGCATGGGTATAGCGATGATGCTGATAGCAGTTATTATGAAGACGAAAGGTCAGACAACTAAACCGAGGGTCGATAAGATGTGGGTTCTAACAAATAGTTCATATCATTAACAGGAGATCCGGTTTATGATCCACTGACCAAAAAGACAAATTTCAATTTCGCCGATTACAATGCATCTAATGCTACGGTTGCATTCGTGTATATATATGTCATGGTCTTTGCTTTGACGTGGGCATGCATAGCATGGGTCTATCCGGCTGAGTTATTTTCACTCAAAATGCGAGGACGAGGTACTTCGCTTTCGTCGGCGACGAATTGGTTTGTTGTACGTGAAATCCTACTACATCTTTCTGCCTACGGAATGATATGCAACTTGCGTAATGCCATGGCACCCGCTTACTATGTGATGTTTTAGAACTTCTGGTTTGGGTTGTATATACCCACAGCCATGGAGAAGATTTCGTAAGTATCCGTATTCTTTCAGTGGGCCATCAGACAACGCTGATAACCAAGCAGATGGAAGCTTTATCTCATTTTCATGGCTCTATGCTATCTGATGGCAGTTGTAGTGTTTTTATTCTATCCCGTGAGCTCTTCTAACCCCGAATTCTCAGCGCGCACACATTGCAACTCCCCGATTAACACTCATAACAACTAGGAATCGGCCGGCAAAACACTCGAAGAAATGGATTTCTTATTTACCAAAGACCGCACACCGTGGGTAATTTTCGATCGGTCAGCGACCAAAGTCGGTGCTATCTTTGAGCGCGATATGGCTCATGGCGAAGCACTCACTGCCTTTGAATCTGGCAGAGGGGTGAAATTGGAGGATGTTGAGCATGGGGAGCACGTGGAAAATGCTACTGTTGAGACTGTCGCTTTGCCTTGATCACCTTTGTGAGTAAATTGCCTGCTAGGGCGACGGAGATGAAGATGATAGCACTACGTATATGTCTCTTTCCTAAAGTAGTAATAAGCCCTAAAATCAAAGTGCAGGGGCGATAGTGGGCCCACCAGATTTACTTTGTTTTGACATGACTTAACGGACCCTTTCTTCTCTTTCGCCTGTGAGAATGAATGAATAACTTTAATATGAAATAACCGTCTAGTATTTAAGCCTCTTGGCAATCATGGCTTCATCAGCTCTAGAGCCAGCCCCATAGGATGTGAGTATGCTACACCGGCTATGCCTCAGCAAGATACCTCCATTTCTTGTATATGTTGCGCGGTTTGAGGGTATGATTCAAACGGCGCTTGGTGGTTTTGCTTATTCGAGGGATCGTGCTCGAGGATGTATCACGGTACGTCGGTTTTGGCAAGCATGGTTGGTTCTGTTTGATGCTACAACAACGGTTGGATGGGTGTGAGTCGAGGCGACGATGTGACAGGATGGGAGGGCTGTTTGGAAGAGGAGGTTATGATTATGCATACCGTATGTATACAGCGACAAGATCAGAAGTGAAGGATTTCAATTTATTTCATTACCATATTGTAGCTATTCCAACCAAAAGTAATCGACATTAATTAAGTTCACACGGGACAAGACTTCAACAAATGTGACAAAGGAGTATGCATGTATACTGACTAAATTAATTGATTGCTGGTAGATAGAAATGGCAGATAAAAGGTAAGGGGAATAGATGGATATGAACTTGAAGCAAAGTACCCTTCAATAAGGAAGATAAACAGAAAATGATGAACAGTAAGAGCGAAAACCAAACAAAGCTAAACAAAACAAACGCGCCATGTCGTGCTTCAACCTCGTGGTGTTACTCATGTGACCGTCATTATCATGTCATATCATATCGTGTCGTATGGAAATTAGTGATTGTCTCCCAAACAATGAGTGATGCGAGGGAAGTTTTTGGAATGGAATCGTAAAATAAAAAGAGAGAGATAGATGAATATGTCGTGGAAGAAGAGCGAATTAGTTGTAGACGCTGACACCACCGCCACCCGTAGCACCCCATCGGAGACGCTTGAGACTCCCCTTCACCGCATCTCTGCCGCATTCATTCGATGCTTTCACGCTTGCGAACCGATCAGTCATACTTCCACCGACAGTTGAATCCAATCCCACTTCTGTTCGTCCAACCTCGCGCCCGAGGGCATACCCAGCTGAAAAACTGATAGCCGAGAATAATACTACTACGCCAGCGCTAATCACCCATGTCATAAGTGTTGGGCTAACAGGCACTAGAGAACTAGCCACGCTGTTTTGACGGGATTTCTTCGAAAATGATGATGCATGAGATGCCCCACGGTCTTTGGTCGCTCTCTGCTTACCCTTTGAAGGTGCTGAAGAAGAAGAAGAAGCTGTGGAACGAGCTGTTTTAGACTGCTGGTGAATGTCCATTGGCTCTGCACGAGGAGTACCGGTATTTATTCGCGTTTGGCGACTGCTGTCGTCGATGCCTTCGCCCATAGCAACTGACTCGGGTACAAGACGAAATGAGGATGCAGGTGCAACCTGGGGACCTGTGGGAGCTGGTGGGCTATCATTCTTTGGTGCACCACGAACTGCTGTACCAAGAGATAGGAGAGTTGACAAACTAGCACGGAGCGCTGCATCGTGGTCTGCCTGATAACTGGGAGAGATCATATTGTATGGTACATGCTGCGTGCGGCTACGCTGACGAGTGTTTCGCACGGTTGAACTCGAGCTGTGCCGTATGGCAGTTGCTTGGCTGCTATTGGACACGAGGCTAGGAGTCGGAGCTGGGCCGTTGTACGACCTCGATCGCGAATACTGTGGTGCATGGGAAAAGGCATTAGGTTGAGGAATAAACGGTGATGAGCTCAATCGCGGGCCTAATGCCGTCGACCGGTCATCATCATCATCGGCATCCTCTTCCTCCCCGGACGATGTGATCTCTGACATGGAGCCGTGGCGCAAAAGCAAAGCATCTCCTTGCGATTGTGTCGTGACATCTTCGTTGGAACCACTGAGGACTTTATCCGACTCACTGTCGCTTTCCTCATACTCATCCTGGCTGCTACCGCCGGCTACGCTCGACTCGTGCGAGGAATCGCTGACAGGGACTGACCGCAATAGATTCTGTTTTGCTCGTTTGCGCTTACTCCGGAGTTGTGAGACCCGTGGTTCTGATCGCTCGACGCGGAGACCTGTAGTGATGATGTCGTCGGTGGTAGCCGCCGACGATAGGGAGGACGTGGACGGCTGTGAAGATACTTCGATCCAGGAGTCTATATAATATCGAAGTGAGTATAAATCCAAAGGGTTGATTGGTGGTATATCTGCAGATGAGGACGATGTGCTGGGATATGATTCTTCCATCTTGAGTAGCATGCAGTCGTGAGGAATGTATACGCGTAATAAAGGCTTGCACCAAAGAATACAAGAAAAGGAACAACAAGCGATCAGGATGCGAGAGGCAAAGGACGAGGAAAACTATAATCACCTTCAGATCGTATGGCGCCTCCAGCAGACCGGTGTCGTGACCCTAAGCGACTGTCTCGCGACGTCTGAAGCCCACCCCGTGCTCCGTACAGGACTCCGGGGTCGTGACTGAAGCCGTCATGCTGGCGAGACTGCATGTTTTAATGCTATGGGAGAAACCAAATAGATAGGGAAATAGAGAGACAAAATGGAAGAGAAGTGTGGGAATTATATTTGGGGGGATCGTGCCGTTGTAATGTGCAGCGTTGAAGGATGCCGATGTACATGTATGCGCCTGATCGGTGGGGCAGCGACGGCGGAGCGGTGTCCAAAGCCAACGTTATCTTATCGGCGCACGAGGGACCCGCCGGATTGGATCGTTCTTTATTGCCGCTGTGAGAATAGCAATATGCTGGCGAAAATAACCTTGAAACTCAGTTGCTGGGAGAGAAGACACCACGTATGTGTGTGTGAGAGAGAGAGAGAGAGAGAGAGAGAGAGAGAGAGAGAGAGGAGAAGAGAGGCAGAAAGAGAGAGCACCACCCGCTGACTGCCTGGCCCACCTGACCGCCGGAGAGGAAACGGCGTGACGATCTCCGCAGGTCACGTTTTCTTCAACAGTCAACGTTGCTACAGCCTTCCTTCTTGTTTAGGTATCGGTATCGGAACATCGATAGAAGATATAAGGTCATTGAATTAAGCAGACTCAACTCCGTGAAATGACAAAATTACTATAGAAGCGAGAAAAAAGACTTTTCAGTAGGCAACGGACAACCATACTGCAGCAACAAAAATCCCACAAATCCAGAGGCAATCATCCAGTGTGCATGGAAAAACGTCGTTTGATACACATAAAACTCAACTTACCGTTCACAGTAATTTACAAATATCTCTAATCGAATGTAACCTTCTTGCCAGAGAAGTCGCCGAATCCACCACGGTTGGTGGTGTTGGCGCCGGTAGCACCACCGCGGCCACGACCGCCAAAGCCGCCACGACCACCGCGACCACCACGGCCACCAAAACCACCGCGATCACCACCGCGGCCACCACCACGGCCACCAAAGCCGCCGCGGCCACCGCGACCACCGTCTCCCTGGGCACGAGGGGTGCTGAAGTCCAGGCGGATAGAACGTCCACCGATCTCAGTGCCTTGAAGATCGGTCAAGGCCTGGCGGGCCTCGTCAACAGATGAGAACTCGACGTAGCCATAGCCCTTGGGACGGCCTGATTCGGGATCAGTGGGCAGGCGAATGCCGCGGATATCTCCCTGTTCCTGGAACACTTCACGGACAGCGTTCTCGTCAACACCAAATGAAAGGTTGCCAACGAAGAGGGTGTTGCTCTCAGGGCTGGTCTGGTCGCCAAATGAGCGGGCACGGTTCTGAGCCTTCTCTCTCGGAGCTTGGTTGTTGTTATCGCGGGGTTTGGCGTAGTCAAGGTTGATGGTACGGCCATCGATCTCGGCGTCTTTCTTGCCCTCGTAAGCGGCCTTAGCGCCGGCAGCGTCGGCGAACTCAACATAGCCGAATCTGGATACCGTTAGCAAGTGTTGCGCAAAATATACAACTGTCAATGAGCTTACCCTCGAGAACGTCCAGTGTCCCGTTCAGTCATGATGCGAACACCCGCAAGTTCACCGAACTCCTCGAATTCACGGCGAAGCCACTCCTCATCAACGTTCCAGGAAAGGTTGCCGACAAAGAGGTTAGGAGAGTTGTCGTCGTCGGTCTTTGCCTTTTTAGCAGTGGCGGCAGGTTCCTCCTCGGCCTTGCGCTTCTTAGGAGCCTCCTTGCTCTCGTCGCTTTCCTCCTCGGATTCGTCAGAAGAATCGTCAGAGTCAGACTCGGAATCGGAGCTCTCAGATTCCTTCTTGGCATCGGTTTTCTAAAAGAAAATTGTTAAGACTTCCAAGACCGAAGGATCATGTCAGATGCAAATATGAACGAACCTCGGCAGCCTTAGCAGGAGCCTTCTCCTCCTCACTTTCAGAAGAGTCCGATTCCTCAGATTCTTCGGATTCCTCGTCTTTAGCTGCCGCCTTTGGTTTGGCATCCTCAGACTCGGATTCGGATTCGGATTCGGATTCCGACTCAGACTCGGATTCAGAGTCGGAGGATTCTTCCTTCTTAGCAGCAGCCTTGGTGGCCTTAGCAGGCTTCTTGGCCGGCTTCTCCTCCTCGCTCTCGCTCTCGCTCTCACTCTCGCTGGAAGAGGAGGCATTCTTCATCTCCTCATCAGAGTCGGACTCAGACTCGGAATCGGAGCTGGGTGTAGGTTCCTTCTTCTTAGGAGCAGACTTCTTCTCCTTCTCCTTCAGCTTACGAGCAATCTCCTTGCTCTTAGCCTTGGGAGACTGCGAAGACTTGGTGACACCAGCATCCTTAACCTTGGACAAAACCTTGTCGGTAGGCTTGGCGGCCTTGGTAGAAGACTTTGACTTGGACATTTTTGTTTTACCTGAGAGAAAACCATTTGTCAGAGGCTAGGAAATCGGAGGACAAGGGAAGGGTACCACATACTGATTTGATCTTTGTTTGATCAATATGCTTTTCTGAACGTGCGGCAACTTTGCACAAAATCCCACAATATCAGATTGTAATAATCTGACAAAAACCCACAGATTAGAATCACAAGCCCACGGATAAGAAGCAACAAAATCCCGGCTTCAGAACCGGTCAACACTCAAGTAAAAAGCCCACAAGCACAAGTATTGTAGCCCTCAGAACCCACAATGTCTAAGCCCACAGAGACGGACGAGGAAAAAATGCAAATCCTCTTTGTATGATAAGCCCACAAGAATGGATGAAGCCCACACAAAGTAATGCAAAAAAACCAACAGCCCACAGCCCTCAGTGAATACAGCCCGCAGAGTGATCTGGTTTACTATGTTGCGTTAGGAATAAGATGAAAAAATTACCTTGATTATAGAGAAAAGGAGTAGATCCAATTCCAAAGATTTTCAATAAGAGGATAAAGAAAGGATGGGGATTGGGGAAAAAAGAGGAAGATATGAGGAGAGTAGAAAAAAAGAAAATTTCCAGACGGCTGGAAGATAAGTTGCTAGGGAAATCTTTTCACACCGCCCGATAACGCCTCACCGCCCGACGCTAGTCCGCCTATGGGTCGGTGGAATTTCGTCCAATCATATACGCGGCTGTGATGTCGCACGTGACTCTTAAGCTTGCAATTGTACCTGCCTTCACTGCGTGAGGGGATCAACAATCAAATCAATGACAGTCCTCTGCTGCAATCGTGCCCAGCAATAGCTCGATTATTCGTCAATTGGACACTTTGTTGGATATATCTGACGGGAATTCTACGGTCGATACAATTCTTTTGCCTCTACACCGGTCGACGACATAGAAAGAGCTGTCGTGTCAGAGCTCTACCGAGCTTCCAAGAAACTGCCTTGTGTATGCGGAAATAGCTTCATTCCACCGCAAGATGAATGCACCGAGCTCTTTCAAAGTGCTAGGGACGGTTGCGCGGCAAACCGCTTCTCATCTATCTCTTCGATCACAATCAAATCTGACTGCTTCGCGCACGTTTTCACATCTGAGCTCAAGGTTATCGAGCACGGCTTCACCACCACGAGGATGGACGCCTACGCCATTTGTGACGGAGACGGTAGTATGTTTATTTTCTTGCTTTCGGTCAAATAATTGAGGCTAGATTTGCTGATATGTTAATGTAGGGCGGAGGATGGCATACGTGTAAGCACACTTTGAACCCTTTCCCTTCGACCTGCCTATAGTCCATAGCGAGCTAACGTATTACCCGAAATGAAGATGACATATTCTCTCGATTACTCAAAGAACGCATTATCTGCCTCAATGGAGAGGTTGACGAAACCACATCTGCCTCTATCGTTGCCCAGCTTCTCTTTCTCGAAGCAGACAATCCAGAAAAGCCTATCCACCTCTACATAAATTCACCAGGCGGCTCTGTTACTGCCGGACTTGCAATCTATGATACGATGACTTATATTCAATCACCCGTGAACACAATCTGCGTCGGCCAAGCGGCCAGTATGGGATCTCTGCTGTTGTGTGGTGGCCACGCTGGCAAGAGGTACTGTTTACCGCACTCATCAATCATGATTCATCAGCCATCAGGTGGATACTTTGGACAGGCGAGCGACATCGCAATTCATGCCAAGGAGATACTTCGGGTTAGGACACAGTTGAATCAGATATACCAGAGGCACTTGACTGGCAAGAAGGTACTGTCGCTGGACGAAATCGAGAAATTAATGGAAAGAGATTATTTTATGGGCGCCCAGGAAGCTCTAGAAATGGGCATTGTGGACGAGATACTGGATCGGAGGGTGAAACCAGAGGCTGAACCGCCAAGTGCAGCAGCTTGAGAATCGGTCTCAAAACCAGTTAGCGGCTTTGTATAATATGACGATACGATGCATACTCCACACTCTGGGCCGAAGAGTGCTGTGTATTCTACGATTCTCACCTCGTAGTATTCTCTCTGATGAACTAATAGAAAATGCAGTTTCTATTCAGTTTCGGTGCAAGTGATCCGTACAGGACAGGACTTACTTGCACAATTATTTGAGATGTTCGGTTTATCAGCGTATTCATTCTCCAGTTATGTAAATCGATGTGTCTACACGCGCTTTCACAAAATTTATCCTATACGGCTATATAGTCTGATTCATCATTTTGGACTCTAGTTGATTACTCTGAGTTTCTCGGAGGAGTCGGAGACTTGGAGTAATCCCAAAGCCTGTTCTAGAAATGGTTAGCGTAACGTAGCCGACTCCGCAATGTTTTTTGAGCTCTGGAGAAGAGAAACAAGCTCACGAGTTCACAATTTGGGTCGCTTCTGGGCTTGCGAAGGCGAGATGACCTGCTCACCGCATACTGTTCCATACAGTATTTGGCGACTGGGAGTTTTCCGTGATCTTTTTCTTTCTCGAAGCCATGCTCAATTGTCACAGAAAGGCCAACAACGATGTCTTTCGTCAGCTAGAAAACTCCGCGCTAACTATGCAAACAAGGCGAATAACGAAGATGCATCATCCTCTGCAAAATCGACAGACTCGAATGTCGAACATGCCACTAAAACCCGTCCTTCTGACTCCCTCCCGCGTTCACCTCTCTTTGCAATGGCCCAATGCCGACAAATGGGCAGCAGAACACGCAAACCTAAAGGAACCAAAGCCGATGATGCTCGACTTCAGAACAACCCCTGGGCTATGGCGCTTGCTTCGCCCATACGTCACTGTCGGATGACAGGAGCGCGCCTCCCGAAAGCATTCTTAACGGACATGGGCTTGATCAAGCGAATCACCCCAGCTCAAGAGAATAATATGAACCCCCGAAAAGCAACCCCCTTATGGTGGATGCCAACTGGGCTCCTAAACGACGAGCTCAAAGCTATCGCGGATCTATCGAAAAATAACGCCGATGCAGCACCCATGATGCCATCGAACTACAATTCCGCCGTTATGCGAATGCTCTCTCGCTCTCTTCTTTTCGAATATGTAACGCCTTCTGGCGGCGATAAAGTGAAACCCGGGCGTTTTATTCCGGTCAACTGGCGAGTCTCGCATAACAAATTGAGTGATCCGGAAATCAAAGCAGTGACCTGGCGTCCGGATATGTTCAAATTTGTCCTCAAGTACATGAGACGCAATGTTGTCAAGGCACTTAAAGAGGCCTATCGGTATGAAAATATCAAGAGAGATACCGCTGATCAATGGCGGGCTTTACAGCTGTCCGAGTTATCAGTTACTGGATTGGTCGAAGGATTACGACGTATTGAAATGACAGATATGAAAACTGGGGCTGTGGTGATAGTTGGCGACCCAGAAGATACAGAAACCAAGACGCCCTTTGTATCGAGTTTTCCGGATTATGTCACTCTGCCACAGACGAGATCGGCTGTACCAGTTTACGATTTAAGTACGCTGTTGTCAGCTTCTGTTCGTGATGCACTTCGACAGTGCATTCCTCGATTTAACGAAAAAGCGCTGTTCTTCCGTCCCGATGGTCCGAAATCTGTGGATGCCATGTTGGCTATGTGGGAACTGAAGGGATTCGTTATGCATGATACTGCATTCTTTTCGGAATCACTTCAACTGAAGTCCCCCTGACGGTCATGATAATAACTCTACATCAATCATATGTACTATTATATACAATACATAATATCAAATCACATGCTATCTAAATGAATCTATCAAGGAAGTGAGAGCTTCGGCCGCTATTTAGCGCCCAGAAAGTCACTCAGCTTGTCAACATAAGCGACTGGCCTCACTGGACCATTCAAAATATCATCCTTGGTTGAGACGCCCGTTAGGACAGCCAGCGTGCCTCCTAACTTACCTTCAACACCAAATCTGATATCAGTGTTGATCCGATCACCAACCATGCAAGCACGGTTGCGATCAAACTGGAATTTACCCTCAATTGCGTCCATCATGGCCTGACTCGGTTTGCCCAAAGCTATTGGTTCCTGCCCAAGCATCATGATCAATGGGGCACTCATTGATCCTGCACCTGGGAATAACGCTCCCTGGTTTGGTAACGTGCTGTCGATGTTGGTTGCCAAAAATACTGCACCGCGACGTATGTACTGGAATGCGAGTGACAACTTCAAGTAATTAATATGGAAATCAAGACCAACTAATACCACCCCAACTTCAGGATCTATCAATGATGGGTCGCCTTTGGCCATAAGCTTGTAGTCCTCCGGTGTGAGGTCTCGACGAAGGGCCGGGTCAGTTCCTCCAATAAAGGGGACATTCTCGTTCCTTAATTCTTGCTCAATACCCGTTTCACCAAGGACAAATACTTTGCGTTTGTTTTCGGGGAGTTTGAGGATGCGCGCGATGTAGACAGAGGCACTATATGATGAAGAGAAAATCTCCTCCTATTTTGTTTGAACAGAAATCGCGTTGATTAGCCATTGACACTTTATCTTTCACGAAGCATTGATTCCACATACAACATTGCTAGGAATATTCAATCCATCGAGCTTCTTTTTGTAATCCGCTCGCGACTTCGTGCTGTTGTTGGTGACGAAAACGACCTGTTTCCCTTTTTGAGAAACAAATAAGTAAGTATATCTTTCAGATTGATGACAACGAATTATAGTTACCTCGACTCCTCAGCAACTCCAGTGTCTCAACGGTGCCTGGGAACGTATGGTCTCCGGACCAAAGAACACCTGTTTACCGGAGCATCTCTCAGTAAATAACAGCCCAAATAGGTTTGGAATTGAACTGACCATCACAGTCAAAGAGGAACACCTATCAATGGCACAGAAATCAGCATTGTACTCGTAGGAAAAGGAGGTTCTTGCTTACATCGAAACGGTCAATAAACTCGTTCAGAGCAGCGGCGTTGCCCGTAAGATACTGCGGAGTTGTGGTCGTCATACTGTGCGCGAGGAATGTGCCGGTGACTGTCCTTGTCTACGTGCAGGTTGAATGACAGGGAACAATATGTACAGCCCTGGGCTATCAAAAATCTATGTTCACGAATATCCCTTGAACTCATCCGACTTCGATGGGTTTTGCTAGCTAGCGGAGATCGTGCGGGGCGCGAATTTGCAGGGACCGCCACGTGATGGCGGGGCAACATGTGCTTTGGGTTTGATATCAAATTGTTCTCGATGCCTTCATAAATCGCTGTGTTTCTAAGCAGTAGCATGCATTCACTTAGACGGTGTCAAAATGGGATCCGCCCACAGCTTTTTATACGTGCCGCCGCACACATATTTTCTCTCCTTCCGGATACCTGCAATATGAGCCTCAGATATTGCTCCCAGTGATCTGCCACGAGAATGGCCGCTGCAGCGTGCTATCGTACTACATTAGCCGCGAGCAGGTTCAAGTTTGGCGATGAGCCGAACGTCCTTCTAAACACGCAATAAATTCTCACCGGCAACTATTGCTACCTGCTTTTCTGTGGCGCCCCGGTTGAGTCAGACAAGTTAGTTATATCTGCAATCTTGAATGAAGATTCTCTGTATGACCGAGCGATTATAGAGGATAATAACCGAGTTCATCGCGGATGTAGTCGTTATTGAAACAACTAGTGACGTTTCCTTTCGCTAGAAATCCGTAATAATCGACAATTTAGTTTATCGGTTGAATGACGAGCAGACTGCATTGGGCGCTCTTGTTTACAAAGAACTGAATGAGTACGAAGCCATGAGAGGGAGCCTGGCAACCAATGTGAAGAGCGAAAGCAAGGAAACGGCTTGGAAAGAACTCAAGCGTTATATATAGCGAGGGAAATGCTAGCCAAGCTGGCTATGTAAAAGAACGCACGGTAATAGTCTTGATACCGCGAGCATGAGCTTCCCTGCCTGCACTAGATAGCGTTTCGAATTCAAATATCTGTGATGTGCTTCATTTGTCAATTGTATTTGAATATTTGAAAGCGGACGCCTCACACCTCATAAAGGAGTAGCATCATAACTATTGGTAGTAGCTCTTCATTTTTCCTTGAATGGTCCGCACGGAGGAAAACCTGCGTATCTGATAAAGCACTGCAATAGAGACTGTGACCACAGTGTCGCGCATTAGGGAAGTGTTCCTCAGGTCCTATCCAGCCATATCCCACACCAGCCACAGCCAATGCCAAAATTCTTGATTTTAAAGATCCCTGGTATAGAGACGATAGCCATACCAATGGGACTTCCTCAGAAGCTTCCGTAGGGAGGCAAAATGTGACGACCATCACACTGCGAAAGAAGGGTTAAAACGAAGCCAACTTCGTTCTACTGCACCTTCCTTTTGCGCTTGCGACAGGTATGGCATCCTTTTGAATATCCTCAAAACTCTGATCATCCCACTAGGGCCTGACTGGCGCACAATAAACGTGCTTAGTGGCTTGTAACAATAAGTATTAAATATTCATCGATTATAATGGTTTGTTTGTAAGCGACACGAGCCTCGGGACTCCAGTCTCCTTAAAAATCAGGCCAACCAATGAAATGAATCACATGACATCATGGCGGCCGCGTGCCCCACGCGCTTGCGCTAAGCCTCTTGTAGAAAGAAGTTGCGAACTGGCCAATCAACGTGTGGTGACATATCCCACTATCGCTATCAGAATCAGGTGCATCGCGTTCTTAACTTTCTCTTTCTGAACGCAACATCCTTCGGAGTTGAAACAGGACAAGTCCACGGATTTTAGACGGGCATAATGGAGTCAATGGCATTATAAATACGCTTCCGGCTGCAGAAATCGTACGGTATATGAATCCCACAGATTCACCTCCCAACGTTCCCCCTTAACAGTTCTTCATCAATCTGCGATCTGAGAATCGGAACTCGATCCATTCAAGCTATATCGAATCAGCACTTTACAAAAGCATGCCGCCTCTATTATACAAGAAGGCTCTCGTAATTGGTGCCACGTCTGGCATTGGTGAAGCCCTCACCATCAAACTGGTCTCGCAAGGAAGCAGTGTGGTCGTGGTAGGACGACGTCAAGAGCGACTTGGCAGTCTCGTCACAAGGCTTGGAGCAGAAAAATGCTCAGCAATGCAATTTGACATCACTAAATTAGACGAGATTTCTGCATTTGCGTCTAAAGTCACCACAGAGCACCCTGATATTGATGCAATCATTCTGAACTCCGGCATCCAACGATCCATCAACTTCGCGAAACCGGAGACGGTTGATCTCAAAATATTTGATGAGGAACTTTTAACCAATTACACCAGTATTGTACATCTTACACTGGCCTTCCTACCGTTCTTGAAGGCTCAGCAGACGAAGACCCATCTCATCTATATCAGTGCTACCTTAGGTATTATACCAGTGGTGTTGCGAACCGGCGGATACAATGCTTCCAAGGCAGCTCTACACCATTGGTTACTTGTGTTCCGTGAACAACTCAAAGCTCTGCCAGACAACAAAGTCAAAGTCGTCGAGGTTTTCCCGCCAGCTGTGCAGACCGAATTGCACGACGAACGTCACCAACCTGATCTGAAAGATGGAGGAAAGATTGGCATGCCTTTGGATGATTTTATAAACCAGACTTATGATGAGCTAGTCAAAGGCGATGATCAGTTCGGCATTGGAATGGCAAAGGGAACGATTGATGGATGGGAGAAAGAGAGAGTGAATTTGTTTCAAAAACAAATTCCAATTGTGCACAGCTCCATGAAACAATTTCTCAGGGAATAGTTCAGATATTTCCTGACTTCAATGTCCGGATACGGCTGGTTTTTGTCGGATTTAAGCAAATGAGACCTCCACGGATGCAGAAGAAGGAGAAATAGAGTAGTGAACCTACCTAGTTTTAATAATTATAGCTAGAACTTTTTTCTTGGATACTATCAAGTATAAATTCGGGTTTATACGGACTGATAGTAATAATGATTTAACTCCAAATACTAATATCAAGCAGTTAGTTTGTTATAGTAGAAGATAGCTTCAAAGTATAGTTACTGCTTCCAACATCTAGGTACCTAGGTAAGCGCTAGATTTCCAGCGTTGGAAGGTTACTATTAAACTGACAGCATCGTACACCACATGCCTGCCTACTAGGATGACACATGTCTTCCACGCCCTACTAACTTGAACCATACCAGGCTAGAATATGGTATTTTATTTCATCCCAAAGAACAAAACTTCTGAAGCGTTGTCTCTGCCAGCTCCTTTGTTGACGGGTATAGAAAGTCACAATTCTCGGCCTTTCCAAATACCAAATTGCTTTTTTTGTGTATTGGAAGGGAATTTGGTCTTATATGTTATACACTCGGCAATTATACGATATCCAAATTATATAGTCATTTGCAGAGTCGGAAATATACTGCTCTGGCCATTCATCTCAAATTGAAGTATGACTTACATTTTGGTCGATCATCATAACCTCATGGAGTATTATCCTGTAATTCACGATCAAGGTATGAGTTTGAATATGACTTGCAAAGTCCTCAAATAGTCAAAATTTAGAACAATGTCGTAGATAAGAGAAAATATTTGACACATAGTCGAATCACACCTTATGACTATAAGGCCAAGCAACTCACAAGAGATGGGATGACTGCGTGAGTTAATGATATAGTCATATACAAAGAGTATGTCCTGAGTCAATGTCTAATTATGCCTATATAAAAGCTGGTTATGGACTGTTTACTCCCAGCACTTATATCAATTTCTCTTTATTATTATCTTTGCATCCTGCAGTGTAGAGACAACAACTTTCGGTGCGACAGCCCCGGAGATTGTGACGGCGGGTGCAAACAAGATGTTGATCGCGGCCCGCGCCCCGCACCATCTACGGCCCGCACTCCCCGCACTGAGCTCCGCTTAGGGCTGGAATGCTTCTCAAGGCCCACCGGTAAATAGAACTTCAAGCTCTTTCACGACTTGATGTGCAACGATACAAATTTCGAGTGGCGACTTTGCTGAACATATCAAAGTAATTTAAATGCTACTATCTACACTACTTTCATTATGTATTTGGAGGCGCTCCCTAGTTTTGCAGCTGCAATAGTGTTACTAGATCATTTGCCGACATTGACCTGATTAAAAAATCCTATTTTATAGCTATAATATCTCTCTCTATGTACCAGTATATATTCTGGAACCGCAACGTATGCTACCTCACTTATCGCAATGGCGGTATTACAACTAAAAGATTAATCTACTCGTTCTCCGGTTTATAGTAGGCAACGCTTTAATTTCTATTGAAACATATCATTGGATAGCTACATGAGTTACGAAGTAGCGAGAACTTAGCCCCTTACCTAGGTAGTTAGTATCGTCTAGATTGCAGAATCTTTCCAAGACATCACAAGGCTAGCTGAAGTTTCATCATTTCAAGTCTCGTACAGTCAGTCGCACGAACATAGGAAGACAAAGGGAAATAAAAAAATCATGTGTCCAACATTTATAGCTACACATTGAATAGTGCCTCATACAGCTAAGAGTATAAGCCCCTCTTCATACCGATTGGAGGGTGTATTGGCTGCGAAGGACCGAAACCAAGTAATACGACGCATTCAAGCTGAGAATAAGGCCCAAGGCCCAAAGGAACAAGTTTGACGATTTTCCAATCGAAGAATTGGCTATTGTCTCCTTTGCAGAATCATCGTCCCATGCAACTGTGCCGAGAGGCGGATTGGGGAGAGGAACGTAGTCTAGCTTGATTCCTCCTTTGACGAGATCAGCGAAATGATCAGCCACACGTTCGTCACCCACCCAGGGGATCACCCTTCGCTGTACGAATTTCATGAACCACCCGTCCCAGGCTTGCAGGCGCGTTAGTTGGTATGCCAGGTTGAGAACCCTTTTCATGCGTGGCTTTCTCAACTCTTGGTATTCCTGAAAGATTCTCGAGATGGTTTCTTGGCTCATCTTCCGGTTGGGATAGGCTTTCAGTTCACGATTGAGTCCATTTACCAGGGCAGCGGTACTTTCCAAAGCGGAATTTCCACCAAAAGCAAGATTAATGGTTAACTGTAAAGGTCATTAGGTATTAGCAATGAATGGCTTGGAGAAACAATTTTGGAGTCTTACCTTGTGCGCCGAATCACCCAAAATAGCAATTCGACCGAAGTGCCAGTGGTCAAAAACAACTTCCTCCAGCGCAATGAGCTGACCACGAATACGTTTCCGCCATAATTCGCCAAAAAGAACAGTGTCGCTGACGGGCAGGTCAGAGAGTTTCGCTGCCTCAGCTTCAGCGTCTTCAGCAGTGAAGCGGGGCCTCGTGGGCCAGTGAATGACCTTGGGGAGTTTTATGAAAACGAAGAAGAACGTTCTCCTAGGTTGGGTGATAACCAGGAAAGAGAATCCATCATTGTGAACGGTATGGCAGTCACCACATCCCATTCCAGGCATATCTGGGGCAAACCCGATCAGACAAGCATAAGTAGTGGCAAGGGCTGCGTGTTATGTTAGTGACAGATTCAAGATTGGAATGCCTCAACAACTTCACGTTATCTTTCATCTTATGCACTCACATCGTTTCTCTTGTGCGGAAATATAACCCGGAATTGCTTTGTTCGCCACTGCCCACATAAAGTCTCGGACAGTGCTATTTACGCCATCACAGCCGACAACAATATCCCCTTCATACGTTGTGCCATCTTCGGTGTCGACTCGAACACCATCACTAGTCTCAGTAACATTGGCCACTCTCTTGTTCACTAGGATTCTAGACTTATCCGGAAGATTGTCATATAAGGATGCGACAACCAATTGACGTTCCAGAACGACAAAGTCGTATCCGTGGCTATAGCCAGTTAGCTCTGATACCGTATTAGCCTGTCTGGCATTCCATACCGAGCTTTAATCATGTCCGCCAGCCGACTTGTACTTATCGCTTTGCCATTGGGAAGACGATTGTAGCTGTCAACCATAGGCGCACAATGGCTTTTGATTTGTTTCCAGCAGCCCATTTGTTCGAGGACGCGGATACCGTTGGGCCACAATCCAATACTGGCACCGACATGAGACCGAACATCTCCATAGGCCTCTAAGACGACATGATCAATGTTGGCCAGCTGTAGAGCATGCGACATGGCAAGGCCTGCAATGCCACCGCCGGCCACAATAACCCTAAAGCCGTTCTTCTCGGTTGTCATCTTTTTAGTATATTTTTCATAAACACCTAAATAGGAATATAATTGCGCTGTAAGCCAGTGCATCTACTGACAGCCTCCCTCTACTGACTGCACTCCACAGTACTGTTATTATAAGAACTGCAGATGTCAACTGTTGCCTAATTCGGCAGTGTATCAGCCACGGGCCGCTCGCCGCCATCTCTCGCCATGACCGCCGTAACCTCGGCCCGGCTAGCGATCAGGATGTATGCATATACTTCATCCTATCATATGCGAGGCTAACCTAACACCCCTCTGTGATGATTCCGATTCTTTGTTCTTCGTTCGGCGCCACAATAAAAATACCCCTCGCTTTTTAATAACAAAGCATTCTCCTTTTCATCTTCTCTTTCCCTTTTCCCCTCCTCCTTATCACACGCTAGTTGCCAGAACGAGTTTGTACAGTTACTCTCTTCCCAATCGCCTCAGATCAGTTATACAATGCCTCGCACATGGTTGATCACTGGATGCTCAGGCGGCTTTGGAAAGGAAATTTCAAAAGCCGCTCTCGCGCTGGGCGATAACGTCGTCGCTACCTCGCGCAATGAATCCAAATTGGCCGATCTAGCCGAGAGTGGTGTTCACACCGTATCGCTCGATGTGAATGCCCCTCAGAAGGATATCAACGCTGTCGTTGCTGAAGTTATCAGCAAATACGGCTCCATCGATGTGCTCGTCAACAACGCCGGATATATCTTGGAAGGTGGCGTGGAAGAGGCTAGGTAATAAATCAAGCTTTATCTTAGGTGTTAAATAGACTAACAAAGGACATAAACTAGTGATGAGGAAGCCCGCGCTCACTTCGATACCAATGTCTTTGGTCAGTTGGCTGTCGCTCGCGCTGTTCTGCCATATATGCGAGCGAAGAAGTCTGGCACGATTGCCAATATGGGTTCCATCGCTGGCTGGCGCGGTGGCATCAATTGTGGCTTGTATTGCTCAACGAAATTTGCCCTCGCTGGCATAACGGAGGCTTTAAAGAAAGAAGTTCAGCCTCTTGGAATTTCAGTTGTCCTCATCGAGCCTGGTTATTTCCGCACCGATTTCCTATCTGGCGGACACAAGGTAACGCCTAAAAAGACCATTGAAGATCTTGTACCGGTAATCAAGCCTTTGAAAGATATGTTCTCTATGTATGACCACAAGCAGCCCGGTGACCCCGTCAAGGGTGCGCAGTTGATTGTCGAGGCTTTAACGGGAACTGGACGTTGCGCCGGCAGACAATTGCCGGACAGATTAGCCATTGGGTCCGATGCTGTTGCTATGATCAGTGGGGTTTTGGAGCATAAGAAGAAGGAATTGGATGACTGGAAGGACTTGGCTGTTACCACGGATATCTCGGACTAAGGCGATATAATCGCAAAGTCAGCGATCGAAGGACATGAGATTTAAGAAATATTATACTATCAATCAAGTCTTAGAAAAGTTAGATGGTGGCTTCAAAGTTCTATGTTCTAATTGAGAATAATGCTCAATAAACTTGGACGTGTTCTCGGATATGTCAAGAGCTTGATAATTCTATCCCTTTACTGGTAGTTAAAGAACATACCCCTTGCCAGGCATGCTCTCTTTTGAAGGCTTCGGCTCTTGCCATTCGGTCTTGACTACAGAACTTTTGTCTTTGTTTTATATAGATTCATAAGACGACACAGGTCTATCGGGCAATTCATTGCATGATCAGGCGAGCATGGAGTTGCTCTTTTTGGAAAGTTTTGATAAGAATCATTATTACAACAGACAAATGAACCCCCCCACTTGCCCCTTCTCTTCTTGAAATAAAAAGAAGAAGAAGAGGGCCTACCCTGTGCCATGGCTCGTTGCAAGTTTGGAAGTTAGGACAACTTCGAAAACTTCCACTGTTTTCACACGCAGGTTATCGATTTATCATAGATTCATAGACAGTGGCGTTCACTCAATTACACGTAATGTTGTGCATCGAGTGCCTTGATTCAATTGAACAAACCAAAGTTTGAAAGAACCAAAAGTTCTTAGGATAAAGTGGAGAGAAGAGCTGTCTCGTAAGCTGCGCGGCGTCTCGGGCCGCTGTTTACATTTAGGGCCCCGAAACATGCTGGGGATAATACCGAATACGGGTCTCGTGCGAAATTCAAGGAAGCTAAATGATGATTTGAAACCTTCTAGAAGCCTTTTTTTACCGCGTACAGGGGTAGCTTCTAAGCCTTCGATATCGTGTGTATGTAGTACTAAATAGCCCGCTGCCGGCGAAGACATATGCCCCTGGCTTTCACATTGACACTCAAAGAAATAGACGGTTTTTGAAGCTTTTTTTTGGTAAACCTACGTACGCTATTCAATACAATGGTTCCTCCGATTTTCTCAATCTTCTTGACTACTTCTGCGTTGTCGTTCCTGCCCCTACTGTCGTCGGCACAAAATACTTCAGCGCAACAGAAAGGAGCGCAATGTGTACGTCGTCTCAGTTCAAGTTGGGTGGAGTGATGTTACTGACGGAATACATGCTCTCTCAGTGTAAACTCTTGACACAAGCATTCCCTAGCAAGGTGGCTCAGAATGGGACTACTGCTTACACCGTTGATGATACGGACTTCTGGTGTATGCATACCCTAATTTGGTTTTAGTATTTTGAAATGGCAACAAAATGCGAACTTACGACTTTCTCATGTTGTATAGCAACTTCTGAATGGCTCTCGCCTAGCTGCATATTCCAACCAACCGAGTCGCAAGATGTTTCAGACGCAGTCAAGCTTTTTGTAGAGAATGACTGCGAGTTTGCCATCCGTGGTGGCGGCCACTCTGCCGTTCCTGGCGCAGCGAACATTGATGATGGAATTCTAATTACGTTTGCAAACATGAAAAACATCAGCATCCACACTGATAGCCAGGACGTTCAGTACGTTTCTGTTCAACCTGGAGCAGTTTGGGGGGATGTCTACACCTACTGCGACCAATTCGCAGTCGTGCCAATGTGCGGTCGCTATTATCCAGTTGGCACAGGGCTCGCCCTAGGGGCAGGTTTCTCGTTCTTGAGTAACGCAAACGGCTTCGCGGTTGACAACATAAAAACTTACGAAGCTGTACTCGCTAATGGAGCTATCGTGGAGGTTTCTCAGACCAATTCTCCCGACCTTTTCAGGTCTCTCAAAGGTGGTGGTAACAACTTTGCCGTTGTTACGCGTTATGATTTACTGCTCTACCCCGGTGGACCAGTGGTCGGTGGCCAGATAACCACCCCTGAGAATCAGACAGAAAAATGGCTGGATCTTACGTACGACTACAGTGTCAGACAGGCAGTACTTGATGTCAACACTCATGCCCTGCCTGCGATTCTATATATGGCCGGCACAGATGAGGTGATAACAAACACCCCTGTATATTACAACAGCCACAATAGCAGTGTCTTGCCACCCATTATGGCAGGATGGTACAATATGACTGCATTAAATGATACCGTCCGTCAAGCTTCGTATGCCGCTCTAGCACTCGAGTTCAATGAAAATCAGGGTGATGGTCAATTGTAAGTGCTGCAGACTAGTTTCCCTCTCCTCTACTTTCTGTTAAGCATATACGTGAAACTTACAGCAATCCAGCCAAGAACAAAGAACATATACCATCACCGCGAATCGGGAAGAATACGCCCGTGTTTGGTATTCATTCCTCAAATGGGGACGATCGATTGGCAATGTAACGGGGTTGACTCTCCTACACTGCAATATGCCTCTGACGCCACGCATGATGAATGCAGGCGTTGAAAAGGGCTCTAATTCATTGGGACTTGCTGGAACGGATGATGTTCTTTCAAGTAAGTAGTATACTGAACGACATTCAGGGATTCATATTATGCCTGATACTAATCTATACTGGTCATGACAGTTCTATACTTCGGCTTGAGTTTGGACACTTATAATGAAACGATTGTCAACTCCTTCAACTCGTTATTTGATACTCTTCAAAGTGGGTCTAAATCTAGAGGATTATTGAATCCGTACATGTGAGTGCCCCTCCCACACCTCGATTTTCTATACAAGGTCTCCAGATTAGACGTTCGCTGACGCTGACGGTTAATTATAGAATGTGGAATTACGCCGGCCTCGGTCAGGATATCTTCCTTAGCTATGGACAATCTTCTTTGAACTTTATGAAAGAAGTAAGCAAGCAATACGATCCAACAGGTGTTTTCCAGAGACTTGTTCCTGGTGGGTTTAAATTATTCTAGTTGCTGCTCTATACTTGTGCTGTCCACTTTTGCATGCCAAAATCGAATATGATCTTGAAGTGAGACTTGTTGTCCAACTTATGAGAAATGGATAGACAAAAAAGAATTGAATTACAAGCTCATTAATTAGCTTTGTTGCCATACATTAGTATTTCCCATTTCACGAACCACATCCACTGATAATAAGCAAATTGTTATCCACGATACAGGCAATCTTTGATTTAAACAAATGCATCAAGTCCTAGCCATCGCTGGGTAGGCATAGGTCAATGATATATTTCATCCTTGATTGGAACGCCGATAATACATAACATCAGAAAAACCAATCACAGCAGAAATTTATAGTCCACCAGTTTCTATATAACAATACCAGACATCTTCAAGATACGCCATTGGTGCTACCCTGGATATAAACAACCCCAGATCTTTCGCGTGCCTCTCCTGTAGGGTTTACTGAGATCAGACTATCCGATGATCGCGGACGCGTCTGTCCCATTGGAGATAGTTATATGCCGTATCGGATGGTCCAGAATGAAGGAGGTTATGAATGCGTTGAGAATGAAAACATGTCTTTGAGAAAATTTCGTGTGGCTTTGTTCTCGGAATTCTGGCAGTATCGCTTCTGGCGCCGTCTTAAATAATACCAAACTCGCGATAGTAATCCTCGTGTCCAAAATCTAGCTATACCCACTAATGCCGGGTCAGAAGAGGAAAAGGAAAGTTGTAGATGGCCTGTTCAAAGTTCATGCATCTTTGTGCCATTCCACAGCCCAAATACCCAGCTGGCAATGAAAGGTCATATGCCGTGTATATAGAAAGGCTCATTGAGGTACTAAAATTTCAGAATTTATTCCACTATTGTCAAGATTTCAATAGTACCCATTTATGTGACTATTTGCCTCGCCATTTGCCTTGCCATTTGCATGATCGTTTGTTTTCACCTCATCTTTGAATTTATTGGCCTTGTTCTTTTCCAATACGTAAAGGTATTCGTCAATGAGCCCATTATAATCACTGGGGACATATGTCGAAAACATTTCAGCGATTGGATTACACTTGCGGTTCGTATTGATACCAAGATCGCGGGCTAATGTATCAACATACTGCAAGGAAAAATCCGTTAATCGACACTCGATAGTATCTCAATACTTTTCACTTGAAAAAACACTTACTGCAAGGTAGTCATAGATGGAGTATGCATGCTTCCTTCCTTGCTCCAAATAGCGCTTTCGAGTCCATGCATTCCATACAGCAATCTCTTCCTCCATCTCCTCTTGACTAGGGAGCTCTAGTTGGCCTAGTAGAAAAGAAACCCCCCAGAGTGCTTGCATCTCAGCCACAAGCGGCGTGTATACTGAATGTATTTGACCAGGGAAGAAAATCGACCGATCGCCTTCTGCAGCCATGCGAGAAGAGACTAACCTGCGATACAATCTCCAGGGTCGCCTCTGAGAGGCAGATGGAACGAAAGTATCTGGCGTGTTAATAAGAAGCGGAAGGGCCTTTTCAACGATCTCCTCGGCTTGAATATCAAGCTTTTGCCATTTGGATTTGAAGTCTTCATTGGATGGTAGATCAAACTGAGCACGAAGGTCTTGTTTGAAAGGTTCCAGAGCATCAGTCCACCCAGTACACAAAATCACATAATCAGTCGGAAGTGATGTTCCGTTGACCAAATTCACTTTATTTCCATCTGAATAGGATTTGATTTCAGTTCGGTGCACTGTAGCCCCGCCAGCGTGAAACGTCTTCCAAAAATCGGGAACACTAGCTAATCCGAGACCCGAGTTCGCCCAGAAAACTCTAGAAAATAATGTAGAAATGGCTCGTCAGCAACGCGTTGATACATTTAGATATCAGAAGTATACTCACCCGTAACCTTTTGGTATGGGCCGTAATTTCTCTGCATTAGGGCTCTTATAATAGCCAGCTTGGTATTCGGCTGCCATCGTTACGATACTCCAGAACTTCATCGTGACGAACCTACCAAGAAAGTTCTTGTGAAGAAGTTGATACCAAGCACCTCTAGTGTTTAAAATGGCCGGACTGAAAGCAGCAAGAGCTCGAGTACCCATAACGTCGACTGTGTTGAAAATGCCGAATAGGCGAGGTGGCATGATTGCAAGGGGGCCAGAACCTTTGTCCCGGATTATCCAGTCAACTTGTTTTCCTGCCTTCAGCAACAAGAAAACGGTATCGTATGCGGATTTAGCAGCACCTAGAACCGTCACTTGCTTGACAGACGGGTCATGAAGCGCATCTAGTGATGTGCCGATTTGGGCAGAGTGAATTATGGGCTTTGTAAAGCCTTCCATGGGCCAGGTAGGAATATACGGTTTTGAAGAGACCCCGCTGGCAACAATGAGTTTGGTCGCCCAGAGAGGTTTTTCTTTTAAAATATCAAGTCGCCAACCTCCACCGGCCATCTTTTCGACATTTTCCACAGTAGTATTGAGACGAATTCGACGCATCAAATCATAGTCTTGGGCGAAGGAATTTAAGTACTCATGAATCGTATTTCCAGAGATATAACGATCTGGTGTGAGACCTTTTTTCTTCATAGGGTAGAAGGAGTACTCAAACAGACCATGCCCTACTTGAGCAAAGAGATTGGGATAAATCCTTTCTTTGCTCCATACACCGCCAATGGAGTTGCCATTGTCGACGATGAGTAAGTTCGTCTCTGGGGCAAGCCGAAGATACGTCGTGGCTGCAATAAGACCGTACCAGCCTACGAGACATCAAAAAGTTGCTCACGATTTCTCCTTAATTAAAAAAAGCTTGTCATGCCTACCTGCTCCAATAATCACAACGTCATAGCTTTCCTTGTCCTTCATTCTTCCGTTCTTTTCCTGCGATTGCGGCTTTTGTCTTGTTGAAAAAAGCCCCTACTTAGTGATATCATAGACAAATTCACAGTTGGAGTTGTATCTGACTATAATGCCCTTTCTTTTAATACAGGACGGCATTGCAAGAAGGGACACGGGGGAAAACATAAGGAAGCAATCGAAAACGGGCCGTGGCGTTTCCGGCTGCTAATGATTTCAATTTCGACACGAGCAAGCCTAGAAGCATCAGCATACTTGAATAATCAGACAATTCTACGTGCATAGCAACAATGAAAAAAAAAAAGAAAGAACAAGAACAAAATAAAAGCGCAGAATGCGGGCCGTTGTCAAGTTTGCTAGCAGAATCGGACGGCCCGCGCGGCCTTCGCGCCCGCCTTACATACATAGATATACATAATCCATTAGGGCTAGCTATTGTCACGGGATCACTACGATTATTGCCCATGTAGTCTTTCGACTCGTCGCATTATTCCTAATTACATACCCTTATATATTACCATTAGAAGGATTAGGGTTGAATCTCTTTGGCGCTTTTCGCAATAAATGACTATTCCAGCAAAAATTTCACATCGCAGGCAAAATGGAACTCCACTCTCTCCTTCCTATTTTCAGCGCCATAGGCTTCTATCTTCTCTGGATCGTGATGGCACAAAATGGTACCATAGATGCTCTTGATTCAGTAAGGAAGACAGGAATATATCCCAATGGAAGACCGCTCAAAACCTCTTATGTTGGGATTCCTCTGCTTGATGGTGCTATTTCAACCCTTATAGCCTTCACCGATGCCTTGACTGGTGGTAACGACCCGGCGACTAGACTTGTGATGATTGACGTTGTGTCTACACTGCAAAGTGGCGGGTTATGGGTTATCATTGAAAGCATTCGTAACGGTGCGGGGCCTGTGGGAGTTGTTCTGTATGTGTATTCCTGGAATATCGGTTTCGCAGAATGAAGACTTCTAACAATACTCTCCAGATCCTCCGTGTGGCCTCTTTTGTGGAATGGGTTTGGAGCTGGGTTCATCTTGCCTATATATTACTACCTCAATTTGAAAGGTCCAGATATAAACAAACCTCTGCGTTTGAATTATGCGAAGACCCTGACTGTTACTTCGGTTTTGGCATTATTCCTTCCTTCCTTCATTGTCCTCCCACCGTTTCAAGTGACCCGGTCTGCTCAAGACAATCAAACTTTCGCAGCTCTATTTCAAATTACCCCTACAATCGCAGCCGTTTTCCAGACAATTCTGGCTTCATTGACGAGTCCGAAAGCTGCTTCTGGTCAATACGCCGCAAAGGTTCCTGTCCGGCGAGCATATTTCTTTTCAGGCCTATTTTCAGCAGCTGCGCACATATACGCAGTGCTTACAGCTATGTATTCAACCGATCCCGCAGTAACGTGGAGCCGAGTCTACGTCCCGTCACCATCGGATGTTGTAGCAGATAGCGAATGGACGGTTCTAGAAGGTGCATTATTGTTTATCAAATACGATTGGATCATTATCAACGTCTCCTCGGCTCTGTGGCTCTATCTTTCGCTAAAACCTTATTTGAATATGAAGACAGCGTTTGACAAGGGATCCACGTCACTTTTGATCGTGTTGTCCACATTGATAGTAGGTCCCGGCGCTACTGTGTCCTGGGGGTTACGACTTCGTGAGAACTGGATCAGATGAGAGGCATGTGGTTATCAAACGCTACCCCCGAGTCCTCACCAATAGTTAAATCCTCACTAGAAAAGAGGGGTGGTTTTATTTGCGAAAACATCGTCCCTTCAAAAAGTTACAGGAATATCTGAAAATGTCTTCCTGTGACTAAATTATAAATTATTAACGAAGTTGGTTCATAAAATGATACAATACTACTACATACTTGTTACTTTCAGAGCCTCTGCAGAATTTAGAGAGCTTATTTACACTATGTTCGCACTTGCTTCAAGAGTCTGCGTGGTTCTCTACATGTGAAAACTCACAACACGTTGCAGTGGATGGCTATAATATACTTTGGTATCTAAATGTAACACATTTGATACCAGTTCACCGACAAAAAATCTCTTGAGGAGTTGTACTAAAGTCACCTATGTGAACTGCGATACTAAATATGTAATACTTATATTTCTAGACTTAGCTCCCAATCAAAAACGGATACATATGTATTGCGCGCGCAGACTCAAAAAACTTCAGAGATATCGCAGGGACACCCGTGCTCGCCGGTCATCTTCCGCAAGGCTGAGTGGACGTCGGAATGAATCATAATATTCTCCTTACAAGAAAGGCCGTTTTGCCGACCAACATGTTACCTTGCTCGGGGATAGGTCTATAGTTGGAGCGGTAATGCGGCCCGCTGAATCGGCGTGGCCGTCCGTTCAACGCAGACACTGTAAGAAACTTCAAACAGACCTAAGGTATTCGCAAGCTATTGAATGCGTGTATGTTACCAGGTAGTAGAAATAAGCATCTTCATTTTGAGGTCTATAAATTTGTTGCAAGGATTCAATATATGTACGAGTGCTCCATGTCTTCTTTGACCTGACTTATCCTTAACTGCCATCTAGAAGATGTCTCCATACCTCCACGAGTCATCCAGCTCCCTATCTGGAGAGCCAGAGCCTTCATCAGTTAGGTCTGTTGCTGAATATGGCTCCACCATTGAGGACTCTGAATACCCGGCTCTGCAATTCCCAGGCTATGCAGAGAAACCACTTTCAGAGCAACTCGAACCCATAGCCGTTGTAGGAATGGGTACGGACGCACCCAATTGCCCATATATAGGCGAAGCTTACTAAAGAATGCTTTCTTAGGCTGCCGTCTACCTGGTGATGTCAGTTCTCCTTCTCAATTCTGGGATCTCATGATCAACAAAGGCACTGGTCAAACTCCCAAAGTCCCATCTGATAGATTTAATATTGACGCCCACTTTCATGAAAATAACGAGAGGCCTGGCAGCTTTAATGTATTGGGCGGATACTTTCTCAAAAGTGACATTCGGGAGTTTGACCCTCAACTATTCGGCATTGCTCCCGTCGAAGCAACGTGGATGGATCCCCAGCAACGAAAGTTACTTGAGGTCGTCTACGAAGCATTCGAGTCTGGCGGTGTAACTCTGGAGAAAATATCCGGCTCAAAAACCGCTGTGTTTGCGGGAAGCTTCACGAGCGACTACCAGCAAATGTCATTCAAGGAACCAGATTTTCGACACAGCTATGCTGCCACAGGAGTTGACCCTGGCATCATTAGCAACAGGATCAGCCATGTTTTCAATCTTCATGGCCCTAGTATTGTGGTTAACACCGCATGTTCCTCATCTGTTTATGCCATGCACAATGCTTGCAACGCTCTACGCAATCATGAATGCACCGCAGCCGTGGTTGGAGGAACGAACCTCATTATCACTGTGGATCAACACATGAACACTGCCAAACTGGGTGTGCTGTCTCCTACATCCACATGCCACACCTTTGACGCATCTGCCGATGGCTACGGCCGTGCTGATGGTGTGGGCGCTGTTTATTTGAAGAGGCTATCCGATGCTGTGCGAGATGGCGATCCAATCCGTGCTGTTATCCGTACTAGTGCTGTTAACTCGTAGGTCTCTATGTCTTTCATTTCCCCCTCGTCTACCTCGAGCTCTCTGTACCTGTCATTTCCTAAAATATTTTTCCTGTGCTTTACTCCGTGGTAGCTCCTGGTTGAAAATAATATACTAATTGCGGTTCGATAGAAACGGAAAAGCTCCAGCGGTTGGCATCACACATCCTAACCTTGAGGGTCAAGTCGACGTGATCCAGCATGCTTATCACCGTGGAGGAGACCTGGACCCAAGGCTTACAGGTTATTTTGAGATCCATGGAACGGGAACTCCTATCGGGGACCCGTTGGAGGTGCATGCCGTTGCAAAGGCTATGAACGGCCAGAGGAATTGTGATGAAGAGCCTCTCTTGATCGGCGCAGTAAGACTTCCACGATGGGTTAAAGATTCTACAATTTATGGCATTGCTAACACTCGCAAGGTGAAAACAAATATTGGTCACAGTGAAGCAGCAAGTGGTCTGTCCGCCGTCATCAAAGCAGTCCTTACAGTCGAGAACGGCATCATTCCCCCAACACGGGGCCTAGTCAATCTTAATCCGAAGAGTAAGAATTTTACCTTTTCCGCCTTAGATGCTCGCGCATTTGGTAACTAACGATATGTACAGTTGATTGGGAGAACTGGAAGGTGCAGGTTGTTACAGAACTGCGTCCATTTCCGATCCACTTGCCAGTCAAACGTGTCAGTGTCAACTCATTCGGCTATGGTGGCACCAACGGCCACATCATGATTGAAGGCATTGACTCCTTCATCCCTGACTACAAACTTGCTCACAAATCAACGACCAAGCCTCGCGGTATACACAATAGAAACCGCCCGTTTCTCCTTCCATTCTCCGCTCACGACAAACCAACTCTGAATCGCAACATTGCTGCATATGGTAAAATTGCTGGGAACTATAATTTGCGAGATTTAAGCTATACGTTGGCCAATCGACGTTCGCGCCTCCAAAGCAGGGGTTTTGTTGTGTCCACATATGCATCTCTCGAGTCCGCTTTTGGTGAGAATCTGGCAGCGTTCTCTTTTGCAGAGAAAAAGAAGAAGCCCTTAATCGGGTTTGCATTTTCCGGTCAGGGTGCCCAGTGGGCAACAATGGGAAGTCAGTTGATGACTTACTACCCTAGCTTCTTGAAAACAATTCGGGAACTGGATCATGTCCTAGGATTACTACCTGATGCGCCCGGCTGGACACTTGAAGACACATTGATTGAAGATGCAAAGACATCGCGGATTAATGAAGCCGAGTTCTCACAACCTCTCTGCACGGCCATCCAAGTAGCGGTAGTGAAGTTGCTCGAATCCTGGGACATCCGACCACAGGTTACTGTCGGACATTCCTCTGGGGAGATTGCTGCAGCATATGCAGCGGGATTTATCTCCTCGAGCGAGGCTATTATTGTGGCATATTACCGTGGTCAGGTTGTGGCCCAATTGAACACTGATGGAGCTATGTTGGCCGTCGGTCTCTCAGCCAAGGACGTCGAGCCGTTCATTCGAGAGTATAAGGGTAAGGTTGTTATTGCTTGCCACAACTCGCCGGTCAGCGTGACACTAAGTGGCGATGCGGATGCCATCAATGAGGTCAGGGTGGCTTTGGATACGGAAAGTATCTTTGCCAGGATTGTCAAAACCGGTGGCAAAGCATATCACTCGCACCACATGGCTTCCTCTGCTGAAAAATACGAGGCGCTGGTTCGACATGCAAGGAAAACAGTGTCCTTCGGCGTACCACTGTCAACTGACGCAGTCATGGTATCCTCTGTTATCAACTCTAAGATTGAGCCTGGAGAAGTCATTGGAGAAAAGTACTGGAGTCTGAACTTGACTAGCCCCGTTCTTTTCAACCAGGCCGTACAGACCATTGCAGCAAGTAGTGAGATTAATATCGATACATTGATTGAAATTAGGCCTCATACAACCTTATCCGGACCCATCAAACAAATTTCCAAGGAGTTAGGAAATGATGGGTTTGGATACCTTCCAACGCTAGTCCGAAGTGAGGATTCAGCTTCGCAGATTCTTAAACTGGCTGGTGAGCTATTCCTTCGAAACTATCCGCTTGACATGGAACGAGCAACTGCTGCGGAGGAAATATCTGCCGGGAAGGTGAAGTTGGTCAAGGGATCAGTTCTTGTTGACCTCCCAACTTATCAGTGGACTTATTCCAAGAGTCTATGGGCCGAGCCACGTCAGAGTTTAGAACATCGTGCTCCTAAACACATGCGCCATGATGTACTAGGATCCCGAGTACCTGGAGGATCTGCATCGGAACCTATGTGGAGAAATGTTCTTCGCATTAGAGACGTTCCTTGGCTGAAAGACCATTCTCTAGGTGGTGAAGCCGTGTTCCCGGCAGCAGGGTATTTCTCTATGGCGATAGAAGCAATTACTCAGCTCAACGAATCAAGTACCAACGCTGTGAATATTGAGGGGTTCATGTTGAGAGACGTATCTATCAAATCTGCCCTGGTCACTCCGGATGATGATAAGGGGATTGAGGTGCTGTTTTCCATGCGCCCATCATTGTTTTCTGCAGGTGACTCGAATGCCTGGTGGGATTTCAATGTCTCGTCTGTTTCGGAAACTGGTCTCTGGAATGACCATATGGCAGGAACCATCAGCATCAACACTCGTGCTCGAGGGCAAACTCCCAGACAAGCCCCCAATCTTCCGCAACGTGCCATGGGGAAAACCTGGAATGAAGGACTTAGAGAAGTTGGTTTTGACTATGGTCCAACATTCCAAGATATGGAGGACATTAGGTCCGACGGCAAGACATTCACCGCTGCATCCAAGACCATTATCAAGCAAGCGTGTGGCGCCGTTACGGGAGAGTCTCGCTACGTTTTACATCCTAGTACTGTCGACTCGTGTCTTCAACTGATCATTGTTTCAATCTATGCTGGAAAGCTCAATGATATGACCTGTGGTGCTGTGCCTGTTCAAGTAGACGAAGTAGCCATCTGGCCACCGACAGCGGAGCAACTCAAGAACCATGCCGCATCGGCATATTCATATACTGATCAACGCGGTATTCGCTCTTTCGTCAGTGGCTCCCAGTTAATTGCCAGCGACGGTGAAATGCTAATGGATATAACCAACATGCGATGTGTTGCATATGAGGCTGCGGTTCCTCAGCGGGTCGAAGAAGCACTCGAATCACAACCTTTCCAGGAACTGGTTTGGAAATATGACATCGACAGCATTACCTCCGATGAGCAATTACGCGATATGGACATCACCTCGATAATGGAGCTCATCGCCCACAAAAACCCGAGTGCTAAGTTTTTGGAAATCGGATCGAAGAACTCGTCAAGCATCTCAGCCAAGTGCCCATGCGTCAGCTATTCAATTGCTGAGCGTTCCGAGGAAGCTCTCGAACAGGCCAGAGCTGAGGTAGAGGGCATTAAGAATTCCGGCTTCCTCGTGCTGGATATTACTGCTCCTCTCAACGATGATAACAATACCGATACTTTTGATTTGATCATAGCTACCAATCAGTCTACTATCAACGATGATGTCCTCAGAAATATCCGACGTTTGCTAGCTGATGGTGGTCGCGTTATCCTTCCGAAGAGTAGCATTGTTTCTTATGAGACTCTTCTTCGTGCCGGATTTAACGGCATTGACGTCTTCCTAGAGGAGAGCGCGACAAAAGAAGTTTCATTGATTAGATCAGTTGAGTTCAGTAATGGCGTGCATGTCACTGCTTCAAGTCCTCAAGTGAAACTGATCTATCGCAACAAGGCGCCTGCTGTTATTCCACATTTATTGCAAGCCCTAGAAAATGCAGGATATGCCAGCAAGGAGAGTTCGCTGGTCTCTTGCGATGTCGCTGATGGTGACCATGTCGTGGTTATCGGAGATTTGGAAGGATCGTCGCTGCTGGCAACAATTGAACAGGAAGAGTTCGAAGCTCTCAAAGTACTCACGAACAAGGCGTCATCAATCCTATGGGTTACTGCAGGGGGCCTTCTCGAGGGAAAGCTGCCGGAATATGGCATGGCGAATGGGCTTGGAAGGTCCCTCACCTCCGAGCAGTCTTCACTGGACTTTACCACGTTGGACTTCGATCTTGAAACTACTTCAGTCTCGCAAATTGCTACCGGTATCGTCACAGCTATGCAACGCCAAATAAAGCATGTTGAGTCTCGAGAGTCGGAGTACTATGTTTCTAAGGGATACACTTATATTAGCCGTCTTCTGGCCAACACAACTCTTCCAGGAGCCTCCAAGGGAGTTCAAAAGTACAACACTCTCTATGACGGCCAGCAGTTGGTTGGCTCAGTACAATCTGGAAAAGTGGTATTCTCTGAGGATGAGCACAAAGGAAAGCCGCTGGAGGGTGATGCTGTGGAAGTCAAAGTAGCATATGGCGGACTCAACAAAGAGGATGCGCTTGTCATAACCGGAAATGATTACCCCATGGCGTTTAGCCACGAGATTTGCGGTATGGTCTCTCGTGTAGGCCCTGAGGTGACAGAATTCAAGGAGGGAGACCAGGTTGTTGGATTCAGCTTTGATAGATTCTCGACGTTCCAGCGAACATCTGCCGATCTTCTTCAGAAAGTGAACGAGGGCGAGGCCATTGCAAAGCTGGTATCTCTGCCCTGGACATTCTCTACCGCTCTTTACGGCTTGAGGGACCTGGCTAGATTGGAAGCAAACGAAAGGGTCCTAATACTAAGTGGTACTGGGACTGTCGGTACTGCTGCTATCCAAGTGGCCCATCTCCTCGGCGCTATACCGTTTGTCGTGAGCGAAACACTCTCAGAAAAGAAGGAACTCGCTGCCATTCTTGGTCTTCCAGAAATGCAGGTTCTTACCAGGACTGAAATCACTACCCATGGTTCAATTCAGTCTTCTATCAAAGGCTCGGACTTCGAGGTTATCTTTAGCAGCGGTTATACCGATTTGTCAGAAGCTCGCGAGGCCTGGCGTCATATTGCTCCTCTAGGTAGATTTGTCGACTTTGGAAGGAAGAACGTACTCAGGCGCAGTGCTCTTGATACCGTTCCAATTTATCAAGGAGCTTCTTACATCTCCTTTGACATGTTGGATCTATACGCATACAAGCCTCAGAAACTGTCGAACTTGCTGAAATCCACCCTATCGCTGTATCGTCAAGGGCTGCTGTCATCCACCTTGCCCCCGAATATCTACAGTCTTGATCAATTAGATTTGGCCGTGTCATCTTTCTCGGATAGCTTTAAAGCGGGAAAGTCCTTGATTTCTTATGCCCCGTCAGGAGGATCTCTCACTATCGTTCCAAACCAACTGAGCATGAAATTTCGATCAGATGCAACTTATCTTCTTGTTGGCTGTTTAGGTGGTCTGGGTAGAAGCCTAACTACGTGGATGACGGAGAATGGGGCCCAACGATTAGTTTTCCTGTCTAGGTCTGGTGCAGATCAAGAACAGGCAGGAATCCTAATCCAAGACCTCGAACGTGCTGGGATTATCTGCCAGGTGGTTAGGGGTGATGTGACAAATAGCTCAGACGTTCAAAAGGCAGTCGAGAGTGTTCCAGCTGAACATCCCATCCGCGGTGTTGTACAGGCAGCGATGGTACTAAGGGTATGCTATATCACCCACCCTCCCGTAGATGGCTTAGTGACTACATAAGGTAACTAACTAACTGACGGCTCGGATCTAGGATGGACTATTCCATTCTATGACATACGACAACTGGAAGACAGCGACTTATCCCAAGGTCCAAGGAACCCTGAACCTTCATAATGCTCTGGCAGATACTTCGCTGGACTTTTTTATTATGACTAGTTCTACCTCCGGAACCCTTGGCACGCCAGGTCAGGCAAATTACTCGGCAGCTAACAGCTTCCTTGACTCACTTGCTAGGCATCGTGTGGTTAACCAACAACGAGCCTGCTCTGTCGTCCTCCCCATGATTCTCGGTGTAGGCTATGTGGCCGAGCACCCGGAAGTCGAAGAGGCTCTGAGGCGTAAGGGTATCTACGGTATCGATGAGACTCACCTGCTAGAATCCCTCGCTGTCTCAATGTTGACCCAGGACAGCCCGAAGCCGGCTGACCATGTTATCGTTGGGCTTGATCCCGTCAGGCTGCAAAAGTCAATCCATAGTTCAGAGACTACTGATGGGTTCTGGTTGGAGGACACCCGTTTCAAATCTCTTCTCGCCTCCATGAAGTCTTCGACTACCAATGGCACCGCCGAAAGCGGGCGCACTATACTGAGCACAATCAAGACAGCCGGTAGTTCGACTGAAGCGGTGCAAGTCACGAGTGAGATCATGGTAGAGAAGTTGGCAAGGTTGTTACTTGTTGACCTTTCTGAATTTGAGCCAGACGTCAAATCGATTGCATCGTATGGTCTTGATAGTATGATTGGCGCCGAGCTTCGCAACTGGATTTTCAAGGAGTTGGCCTTGGACATTCCCTTCCAGCGGCTGTTAAGTGCAGACCTCACAATTACCAAGTTTGCAATTGAGGTTTGTACGAGCCAAGGATTTGTCTTTGAGTCACAGGCCTAGGCCAGCTATGAATTGGCAAGATATGCATGCATATCGGGGGATCATTTTGCCATAGTTAGGATCTTTCTCTTTTTTCTTTGAGTTTACTAGTTGTTCATTCAATTCATGCTTGATTATTTGTGTATGTTAGTCTTTTAACCCATTTGTATCAAAACTGATTCCTTTAACGTATATTCAATCATTTCTCTTAGTCTATTAAAGCGTTTTGTTTTCCAAAGGTTTGACTGCGAACTTTATGCAAGATATTGACAGACATTCTGGATCCTTGCTATAATCGGTTTGATGGGAACAGTATGCGGTGTCGGTAGCCCTGCTGTCAAGCCATCGAGTGAATCCTATAGCCAGAAACCGAATGATAGTATCTGCACGGTTGGACTAGGCTTTTGGAAAAAGTACGCTGTACGAGAAACGAATGAGAAAATGTGCAAAAAAGCGATGTACGGTGATCAGTCATTGAAACAATTGATGAGGATTTCATCTCTGTATGCCGCTTAAAGAATCTGGAGATAAATCACAAAACTCAAGACCAATGGTTGGAACTTGAAGTGGAGAAAGAAAATCTGCTTGTGCCATCAACTCCTCTCGAGGCACACAAAAATAAGAGAAGAACAGAACCATTAACTCCCTTACAATCCCTCTACGAACGAGTCACAGGCGGATACGACGGACCAAAATAGCAATGTTAACTCTGTATCCATGCCAGTTAGCAATGCCCCTACACAAAGAGGAAAGTTCCAGCAGACACTTACGGCTGTCCCATTTTCTCAGCTACAGATGGCAAGTCTCCTTTTTGCGAAAAGGTGTGTTCCCGTGACAGCCAATCCCTGATCCTGCGGAACCTCGACGCCTCAGGGTCCGAGTGATTCATTAACATGACCAAATACGACAATGGGCGACAGCTTATTGAGCTGGAGAATGATATATCATCCATATCATTTGGAGGGGGCATAAAGTAGTAGCCTCCTTTTGGAGAATATCGTGGGTCGGCCAAAGTCATCATCGCATCCATCAAGCAGCGGCCGACATTCTGACCTCTGTTGGAATGCCAAATCATTATTTCCAACCGAGCTGTGCCCGAGACAGAGGGTTGCCCGTCCAAGAATTTGGTCAGTCGAATATACTCCAACATCTTGCGGCCGGACTCTTGCCTCTGTACATCTATTGCAACAATAAAAGGGAGCTCCTCCTTGCGCGATTCGTCGACGCGTTGGAACATGTCATCCACGGCGATTGGTTTGGTGTCGAGGCATTGGACAGTGCCGCGTACGTAAGAATTGTACAGATTCATCAATTCTTCGGCGTCCATATGTGTAGCATGACGAAGAATAAGGGCAACTTCTGGTTTGATGCGGCGAGAACCCCCTGTGGAGGCTAGGGCTAAGATCCGTTCTTCTGCTTTCTTGACACGTAAAGAGCGTTGCACTAAGTAAGATGTTGGCCCGTAGCCGAGGTCGCATGTTGAAGATTTTGAGGGGTAACGAGCAGGAAATCTTGCTCTTTCAATGTCGACAAGCAGGCGACTCGGCTAGTGCGGATGTCAATCGGATCTTGTGCCGGCGCTCAATGCTTCCACCAAGGAGTTGAAACGCCTACAAACCTTGTGGAAAAAGTACATAACCATGATGAGGAATTTTGGGCCAGGGTCGATCCTTGTTCTCAGTGGTAGTCAGACCGAGTGAGTATCTCATATGTCCCACGACCCACCTGAGAGCTGGCCATGCTGACCAAGGTAGTTAGTTGGCTGCGTTTATCGGAGGAAGAGCGTAGGATTTTCACAGTGTATGTGAGACTCTACCGACCGGACTGGGTTGAACTGGCCAAGTCCTTTAATACCGTGGCGGCGGGGCTGTTCTATGGGCTGTTCAGGGTCGGCATGCGACTTTCCGCTTTACCAAGCACTCATTCGACGGTGATAACAATCATTCTGAGATACATACGGATCGAAGATGGTAGCATCATGCCGTCGAACGAGACACGCGACGAGCAAGACCCTTTTCCCAATGTACCTCAGTCTGTCGTCGAGGCGGCACAAAGGCTCCATGAATCCTTAGGCCACTTTGACCGATGCTCGCCAGGTTTGGATTCGAACTCTACCACTTCGTCCGGCGGGGATTGTGCTGGGTCTCTAGCCGAACTTCCGGAGGGAGGTGAAGACGCCGAATTAGCGCCACACCCAGGCGGCATCCAAGAGCTTGTAATCTCATCTCATCCGTCAAACAAGCGAAAGCACGCAGGTAGCGACGAGGAGGGAACAAAACGACCGCGACAGAATGGTAGATCAATGCAAGCCCTCGATGCTTCTACCTGGGACGATGATTCTCTTTCTGACTATGGTACTGGCGGCAATTCTAATGTTTTGGCAGAGAGAGATCGAGTTGAAAATTTGACTAATGAGTTCTTTGCGAAATACCTTCCTCACTGATGCACCAGACAGTGACACCACCATCTCAAGTGGAGACATATCTTCCCGTGAAACTCCCAAGCCAGTCATTAGAACCAACAATACGTGGCCATTTATCACCACCACGGAGTGAAGAAAGCCTGGTACTGTATCAAGTTTACCCACATAGAGTATTGCTTATTATTTATAGTAGTATGGCCATGTATAGATTTTCCAAGACACAATTCAAATTCAAGCAAGCATGGCTCTTTTTACTTCAGCATAATACTACGTACTATGTAAGACTCTTAACAACCGAACATTGTTGATTGTTCAATAATCGCTGGCTGTCATATTGCGCGTCGCGCGATTGCTGAATCCCACGGTATCTTGTTGACAGTGTATTACGGTCAACGCCAAAGGATTTTGCAACTTTAGTAATATTGATCTTTTCGCCTGGAGGTTGCGATCTTAAAATTCCCTCATCAATCTATAGGCTGAATTATCGAGGGCAGGAATCCCGCCCTATACCGTATACGTTTAATTGTGATCGGAGCACCCAAAGACATATCCAGTAATGCATATATGGTTGTGAGATATGTACCATTCCTATAATCGGATTTTTCTACCGTTGATTACAACCAACACAGTGATTGACAACCTGGTGATCAGTTTTTTCGGCGATTCCTTCTCCACCATGAGTCCACCGCTGACAAGCAGATCGAATTCATCTTTGATGGAAACTCTCTCCCTAATTTCATCAATCGTGGTTCCCGCGGTGATCCAGGCCATGGCACGGTCCCATCAAGTATAAAGTCAGGCTCCTTTCACGGATCCCTGAACCATTACCCCTGAACCCTTACGTAGAAATGAATTGCCTCCCAACACTGACCATGACTGACAGCGACAGCAATAGTGCGTTACCTTCATTGACCATTTCCCGAGCCACGCCCGACTCCGATACAGACTCTTTCGACTCGGGATCGGACGATGTCATTTCCACTTCGAGTGATGAGACGTACAACCCGTCCGAGAGGCCCAGTGACCGAGCCTTTATTGCGACCGAGGACGAAACCGATACCGCCACAGACGAAGATGAGCAGCGGAATACGCACGAGAATTAGCTGGTGAGCGTTCACCCGAGGAGTGAAAGAATAGAGAAGAGAGGCTAACCGGACACAGATCAGGCACAATGCCGTTCCCGTGCCTCACCAGGTGTTACGAACACGCCTCGTGAAGATGTCCGGGCAGCCCGCGTTCCGGCAATACTTGGTCCAGGGGAACTGGTGGGTGACACCGCAGTATGGAAACAAGACCGACGCTATGATCGTGGCGTTTGAAAAAGGCCGCAGGGGTCGCGGCCGTACTCCCGGACCAAATTAAGTGGCAGTGTACTATCCAGTATCCGGGAGAACCCTTACACCCAACAAAGGTCTAGCACGCCCAGCCTCTGCTTGGAACGGATCCAACCTGACTGGCGTCCCACAACAGATCGGAGCTGTAAGAGGAGAAGTCTGTGAACTAGGAGGATATTAGTGCCTGAATAGCGAGGCAAAAGACATAGCAACAGCCCATGTTGATTGAATAATGCAGTTGAGATGTTTCGACCAGGTATCTCGTTTTCACAGGTCCACCTTATTTATGCATGCGTCCATGACGTGTCACTGTTACGGCATTTCCTGGAATCTAGAATGTAGAGACAGTTAGTATGCCATCAGTTGTCTGCCCCCATGTAAATGAGACCGTGGTGCAATTCCAAGAGGCTGGGGACCAATCGTGGATTACTTTCTCTTTCGATGGCGGAAGTGGACGGCACAGAAATGCTACAGTACAATGTAGAAGAGAGCGGCGATGCTAGCCAGGCACGGAAGATGGGAGAGGAATCCGAGACCATTTACCAAAGTCTTGTGATGACTGGGGAATACACCACATCAGACGACAAGCGTCTTAAATGGGACTATTTAATCTCTTTGACATTTCATCGACTGGCGGCTGTCGACGAGGAAAAGTAGCCTCCCAGGCACTCAAAACTTTGATTAAACGAACTTCCTGGTCCTTCCCAGCCAGTGCAGCAAGTTCGAGGGGTCGTAAATGTTGGTTTATTTGTTGTGGTGATTATTCTTGTGAACAGTAAAAGTGCCAGATCCAGAGAAATGATGATCGATTTCAAGTGGCCCCATTCCATACCAACGTCTTATTGGCTTTTAGCCCGGCGATCCACTAAGTGGAGTCTAACAGCCGCGTAGCTTTCCGACAAACCCAAAGCTATAGGTGCATAATAGTCAAGAGTCGTGAGCGTACCAGTGTTCGAAAGTAAAGTGCAAAAGGGCTCAATCTGGTCGTATTTCAGTTGTTTGAGTTGTTTAATAACGGGAAACAGAGCTTTTGCTAGACCATGTATACCCAGCACCGCTTCTATCACACGTCTCTTCTGATTGACTGATACTATATCCCGAAGCATGTTATAGTTTATACCATGCTTCTCTGCATATTCACGAAGTTTTCCCTGCGAGTTGACTCCTCGATTATCCCGTATGTGCCATAAGTCGTCTTTTGAGACGTCCGCATTTGGGTACTGCTTATAGTATTTGTCGCTTTCCTGCTGCGATTTTAGCATGAAAACGAACAGGTCCGTGGCGTCCGCGTCTTGGTCTGGCCACGATACTTGGTTGAATGAAACTGTAGTCATTTCAGCGATCAGATACGAACGATCATGATCAAGAAACTTTAACAGGGATACCTGGTCCGTTACCAATCTCAGAAACCAGTGGACACCTTTGTCGTCTGTTGATGGCTGCTGCATCTTGAGACTGGTAATTTTAGTACGTCAGGGAGGTTTTGTCCCGTCTCTGAGACCAGTAGATTCCATATAGTACGGAGGTCTCTTGACTAGGATATCTCAGATGTTCTCAAGGCAACGAACGAGGATCAATTCGTCAATATACGAGATGTGTACATCGATAATCAGACCATTTTCCTGATATACGAGGAGATGACCCCGGTACTTGCGTCTCTTGCAGAGGTTGAGGGTGGGTTGTCTGGACCATTGAAAGAGGATGAGGTTGCTGCTGTTTTTGAGCAGGTGGAGACTCGTTGCAGGTCATGTACATCCATAAAAACCTGAAAATATCTCATGGTGATATCAACCATGAACATATTTTAATATCTCATACCGGGCAAGTTAAAATAGATAGGCAGCTTTGATTTTGTCAGTGTACATGTACTAATCCATACAGCAAATATTGCAAATAGTATGCTTCAATCCAATCATGACCGTCAACAGCAAGATATCAGAGCATTGGTCTGGTGTTGTGTGAGTTGATGTTGCTAGGCGAGGACCAGCAATGGCCAGCTGAGATGCGCGATTTTCGTGACAAATTGGACAGCTTGGGAATACAAGATTTGATGGGACATGGATTTCTAAAGAAATCGTGTGGCCGAGAATCCTTGAGACTACATGTCAGGGTTGCGATAAGAACAAAGATGGTTTACTTCCGAGTCCGTATGTAGCGTAATACAGTTGATAACTGGCAATCACTGCTAACTGGGAGCTGCGTACCCCGTACGCGTGCCCGCTGTGGTGGACGCCCCCTGAGATCATCCTCTTGCCGACTCCAGAGGAAGCCACGCAGTCACACGACGCTATTCGCAAACGCTGGGACAGCCTACTAGCCTACACCGACGGCAGCGGGTATAGGGAACACGTGGCCGCTGCGGCCGTATTCCCCCAACTGGGTGCCCGCCAATAGCGCTACATGGGCATAGAGACGAAGAAGGTGGTGTATGCTGCCGAGCTGCGCGGCATTCAACTCGCACTACAGGTCTTTATAGACATATATGAGAAGGGAATGGGGGTCTGCTTTGTTATGACTGATAACCAGGCAGCCCTTAGAGCGCTCGCTAACCCGGACCGTTCCACATCCCAGTACCTGATCAAGGAGATCATCTACCAGATCAAGGAGCTACGCCAGAGAGGGGGAGAGGTGGTGATGCACTGGATCCCGGCTCACACTGGAATCCCAGGCAACGAGGAAGCAGATAGGCTAACCAAGGAGGCCTACCAGCAGCACCAAGCCACAACAGAGCCAATCCTTGCCTCATCTCTCCGGCGCACAGCCAGGGAGAGGATGATCCAGGAATTGGCTCGCCTGTGGACGGGTGCCTCCTAGACACGCCCCCGGCCAGCCCACGAAGAAGCTAATTACCCACCCAAGCGAGCACACCACGAAGATATATGTCGGCTTACGGAAAGCCACCACCTCCGCGCTCATCCAACTCCGCCCAGGCAGGATAGCGCTTGCCCACTTCCTCCACCGTATCCAGGCAGTGAGCTCCCCAAGCTGCCCGTGCGGGGAGAGGGTACAGACGGCTAGACATGTGGTCTTGACATGCATGAGGTACACACGCCTCCGTGAGAAGCTCTTTAGGCGCTTGGCGGAGCGAAAGATCGGCCACACCAGCTTCAGTAAGCTGGCCTCTGACCCCGGCTCAGCGGGGTTGGTCGCTGATTTTGTGGTACGCACAGGACTGCCAGGGCAGTTTAAAGCAGTCCAAGATAGACGCACACAGCTTGACGACCCGGGCTCGGGTACTGATAGCGGAGGAGAGCACTGATATAGAAGACCGTCACGAAGCTCGTGAACCACGGGGGCAGCTTTGTGGTGCAGCTTGATATGAATCCCAGGCACTCTACAATTGGAGGCCGAGCCTATAGAATGATCCGTGGAGTGGCGGTTTACTCTCTTTTAAATATTTCCTTTGTACGGTATAAGAATAACTTGCTTTCCGGCGTTTTGGTGTATATAGGTAGATAGGAACGCTGGCTCCCCGGAGCTCAGCTCCCCCGGCATAACGGCCGTAGTAAAGGCGCGCTGAAAGGGTATGAATACTACTACTACTACTAGTACTACTACTACTACTACTACTACTACTACAACAGTTGATATGGAGAATCAAAAAACTAGTTTCATGTCTTAGGGATTGGTTCAAACACGTAGTTAAGTAGGGGTCTTTCATCCAAATTCCACGGAATTGGGAAACAGGATATTTAGTATCGCATGAACATGATAACATTTAAAACCCTGCTACCAAGCATATCGGGCCACGCAGGCACATGACGTCACAGGGCTGTTTGAAGTCAAGTCTACACATTACTCCGTATATGTATACGCATCGTTTACAGCCTTTCGATGGAATGCTTTTTATGCAATATAGGCACTTCCACAGAAAGGAGATCAACGCACAGGCTCGGCTTGGAGGCCACTTTTGCGATAAAATTGACTTTTTCTACAACATCGACGATATACGCCAGCAAACGCTTACCTTGGAATCCTAATATCATGTTAGGGCCCCTGCAAGCTCAATTCGATAGAAAGGACTCTCCCATACTACAAATATGGGATGGGGAGGAGGAGAACATTTCAATCTATGCATTGGTAAGGCTGTGTTGTGGTTGCGTCGCTGTCCCTTCAAATCGTATCTGATAAAAGACCAGTTTATATGCCGTCGAAACTGCAGGAACGTGGACGCTGTGCGGCGCCGATGAGCAAACAGGGTGCTGTGACCACCAAATCCCCAACTCAAAAGGGGGACGTGTACGGCCCTTTGATGACCATTCAGTTTGTAAACTTTGCGCGTGATAGGTGGTGAAAATTGACCACTCGATATGAATTGGTGAATTGGACGGATGAGGCCACCCGTCGTTGTCTTCCCACCACCACTTTCATCCACCATGATCAACAGTCGACGAAACGATCCACCGTCATGACGGGCATGCCATAAATTATTCCGCCGAAAGTGTTTCTGCACAGGATGCGGATTGACGCATCGACGACGTCCTCACGGTTCCACCTCCACGTCGGACCTAAGCCGCCTCAAATGTATGGGAACTGCCGCAGAAGCCCCGAGATATAATATGCCATCCTGGAGCCCATTCGCTCGTGACAGGACTCAACCTCAAAAACATGTCTCGCGACGCGAAGCAGTGCCGACTGATTCTACCAGCAAGTGCGAAGGCTCGCTCTAGCGCGGGCCCGTCTCCTTGGAAGCACGACGAGCCCAGCCCTCAGGTTCTGCACACCGTTCAGGCGCACATCCGTTTCTGGCACCACCATCTTCAGCCCCAGGATTCGTTCTTGGTCGTTGAACCCGATATCGTTGGTCACAGCGTCGATTGGTGGTGATAGATATTACCGGAGGTGGAACCCTACTATGGTACGAGTGCCCCGTGGCTATGGAGCTCCTACTAACGAGCATGATAGCTGTCGCGTGGAACAATAAACACCCGTTGCTGCGGCTGCTGACAGGCATGGCTGTTGGATTTTGGTGTGTCTCGTCCTCGGAAATCCGCCAAGTGTTGAGCTTCGGAGTGCCGCTGGAATAGGTCATCTTTGCCCACCCCTGTAAAGACTATCACTAGATTTAGTATGCTTGACTGTGTGGCGGTCATCAAATGGTCTTTGACAACGAAGACGAGCTGTGCAAATTGTCGCAGTACTATCTGGAGGTGGAGCTCTATCTTCGCGTCTGGGCGGATGACCCCTAGTGCGGTGACTGGTAGGCTCACAAATTCGGAGCGCCCATCGAGTATGCCCAGCATCTTCTGCAGCGGGTGAGAGATTTGAATGTTAATGTCGTGGGGCTTTGCTTTCAGGTTGGCTTCCCCGTGTCGGATCCATCAACATATGCACGAGCGATGGCCCAGGCGCGAGCAATCTATGACGAGGCGGTCCGGCAGGGATTTCGCCTCCGTGCAATCAATGTGGAAGGTGACTTTACCTCTACAAACTTTGCCGGGACTTCCCACGCGCTTCGTTATGCCATAGCATGGCACTTCGGCTCTCTCATGACCACCATTCATTGGATGGCGGAACCTAGCCTGTTCTTCGTGCAAGACGCCGCGTATCTCGCCTGTCGCGTGTTGGGAACGTGCCATCTGCATCCAAGTCAGCCCGTCAACATCTACGTCAACGACAGCATCTACTAGAGTTTCTACACTGCGCTCATCGAGTCTCCGGTTTCGGCTCCAACTCCAACTCCTTTGTTATTGTTTAGTCGATGGATCACCGATAATGATGCGTCCGATCCCATGCCACAGTAGGTCGTGTGTACGGTGTGGGGCCAGATGGACTGTGAGTAGGATTATATCCAAGCGGACTGTCGCTTTTCTCAGCCGGTCCAGGTTGATGACTGGATGCTATTTCCAGGCATAGGCGGTAAGTGCATGTTGCTGGATACTAAGATTCTTACTGACCATCTCTCTAGCATATTCGCATGTGAATGCTGGTTATGTCAACCGCTTGTGTGATCCAATGTAGACGGTCTATGTGTCTGCCTGCAGCAATGGGTACTGGCATCCAGTTCACCAACCCACTGGGACCCGTGGAGGCAGCGATCTGGCATCTGCCAGAGCTCAGGTCTTAGATTCCAAACGGAGCTATGTGTCAGGACAGATGAAGATGGAGTAAAACTTGGCTCATCGGAGAACCCCACCGGGTATGATACCGGTGTGGAAATAATGGATAATGTGGTCTACCAGGGAGAGCGCTATTCTCCAGTGGAAACAACGCGGGAGAGAAGACTCAATCCAGCCCTCGCGAAAATTGACGTTCACATCCGATAAAAATCTCGTACAGTCGTTGTTGTTGTTGTTGTTGTTGTTGTTGTTGTTGTATTCATACCCTGACCCCTCGCCGAGGCGATATGCAGAATACCACTATTTAATCCCTATCTATCACTAAGTACAGTAATCCATTACATACCGACGAATTTAGAGCCTCGTCACGGCCTGTGATGGTCAAAGTGCCTGATGTTGTGTTCAGCGGCCCTATGGCGCGCGGCTTTGAAACCTCTGTGATGCCTCTGCAAAGACTAGTACTGCACCTACGACGCTACCGCTTTGCATATCATCCCCCTTATCTTTCTTACCTCGATGCCGTCCTCCCACCATGTTTGAAATGTTGTTGAATGCAATCCCTATCTTCCTCCGCAGTTCGTTGGCCAGCGGCTACTAGACCTTTGATCCTGAGAAGGATCACGACATGATCCCATGTAAATGTCAGATAGAAACCCCGAAAATGCCGGGAGTGATGAGAGTAGAAAGTTCGACAGTGCTTCAGTTGCAACTGCAGTGAGGTGATTGCGGTTAGTGCATATCTGTCGGGTACCAGCTAGTTTGAAAGGTGACGGTTTATTATGGAAGCGATTTCGTAGATCTTTGATGGTAAGGGTTGGAGATAAGGTAGCGGTCGGTGTGGGGGAAGGATGACTCCAGTAGCCATTGGTTGTTGGTGTGAAGTTTTGCCATGTCGGTGGTTGGTGTTGGTGGGAGCTTTTCAGGATGGAGGCATAGGTCGGACGCGGACTCGAGGTAGAGGATGAGTCGAAGACGCATGATTGCTCGCAACCATCGGCGTCACTCTCGAGTTCTCGTTCTTGGTTTTCTGGGTCGAGGGTTGACGGATGGTGTATCGGTGTGGTTGGTCGGCTTTCGGATGCTTCCATCAAGGACTGGGTTTCTTGGAGCAAGTCCGCCCATATGCAATCTTCATCGTGTAGTGATAGGAGCTCCTCTACGTGGCTCTTTTCGGGTTCCCATTTGCAATATCCGATCCCACACGTGAAACACATAACCAAATCGTTATCTGTATCATCTGGCTGGTGGTAGAATCCAAATTTTGCCAGTTGTTGCAGTGTGATATTTGAATGGGGCCATTCTTTAAAGGAGAGTACTCGGGACTGGATTGTAGAGAGCCTTGCTGGGATGCGTATGAGGTTGTCATGAGAATGTTTTGATGTCGGACGCGTGTCAGGATCGGGGGAGGCGTGGCGCGTTGATGGTTTGGATGCGGGTTGTGGGTCTGATTCAAGGATTGAGAATGGGTTGTGGTCACGACTTGAGGTTTTCTTAGAACTGTTTTCTTTTTGCCTTTTGGGTGCCATCTTTTGTATCCGGCCAGTCTCCATTTACTACCTATCAATCCGGTTGTACAGTCGGTTGTTTGGTTGGTTGGTTGTATTCATACCCTGACCCCTCGCCGAAGCGATATGCAGGATACCACTATCTAATCCTTATCTATGTCTACGTACATCAATCTATTACATAGAGACGAATTTAGAGCCTTGTCACGGCCTATGATAGCCAACATACCTAATATTCTATCAGCGGCCCTGCAGCGTCTAGCTATAAAACCTCTATAATATCTCTACAAAGTCGAGTACTGCATCTAAAATACTATTATTTTACATATCACCCTTCTTATCTTACTTACCTTGAGATCCTTCTCCTAGTATATCTAATATATTATTAAATATAGTCCTAATCTTCTTTTATAATTCTTATTATATAATCTTTAATTTAAGATAATAAATTAAGATATAAATTATTATTTTTATTACTCTATATTTATACTTATTATTCTCTCTATAGCTATATAGTTTACTATATATTACTAGCTATAAGTAACCAGTTTAAAATTAGGTGAGCAGATAGGCTTAATTATATATGTCGGAAACTTCGGTTGGTTTACCGTCGAGTATAGCTAGGATAGCTATTAATGGGCGAAGTTAATAGGCTTCTAATATATGAAAGTTATAATGAAATAAATAAAGTCTTAAATAAGATAGAATATCCTAATTGATAGAAGATTATATACTTAAATTATCTCAGTTAATTCAAGATAATAGAAGAAAATTAAATATATAATAAATAAGCATCCTTATATAGCTTTTCTTTATTATAGCCTTTATAGAAATCCTCTGATTTTTCTAATCTATAGATCATAGCCATTATAGAAATCTTTTAATTTCTCTGATACTCTAACCCTAAGGCTTTGTAGGTAATCCTTTATTTTGAAGTATATTAATCCTATAATAATTAATCTAATCTATTAGTTATAATATTTTAATTCTCTAATAATCCTCTTCTCTGAAAACTAGCATCTTGATAACTCAATAAATAGCTTATATCCTCTAAAGTATAAGTAATTAATCTTAATTTCTTAAATATTTTAAATGTATAATCTTGTAATTTTATACTAATTATATCTTTAAAGAAAATAATTTTAAAGAACTCTCTTCTCTTATATATTAAATAATTTAGTATTATCTATTATTTTCTATATAATTAATGTAATAATTTAGAAAAGATTTATATTAAAGCAGAGTTCTTTAAATATTATAATAAGTGTATTTATATAAATAATTATCACTATATTAATATATTTATGTCTAAAATAGTATAAAAGTGTCTTTCTAAGACTTAAAAGTATTTTTAGAAAAAAGAAGAGTAAGCCCTAGCTAAAATTCTTTATTTATAGAAATAACAAAAACTATTAAAGAAATAAGCTGGAGAATTTCTTTAAAAAAATATAAAAAATGTTGAAGAGTTAGAGAAATTAGAAAAAGTAGAAGAAAAGATAAAAGTAAAATAAATAAAAGAATAATAAAAGATTAAAAAGCTTCTAACTACTACTTTTATTTTATAAAATAATAATCTTATTCTTAATATTAATTTTAATCTTTCTATCTTTCTTAACTATACTTTTATCTTTATTCTTAAATCTTCTTAGAATAATTTAAGTGTCTAATAGATTTTTATATATTTTTTTTAGATCTATATCTTTTCTATTTTATAAAATAATAGATATATTTTTTTTTTAACTTATGCTGTAGTATTTTTTTAATTTTATATTTCTTATTATCTATTATTTTATTTTTATTTATTAAATTAGTGATTAGTTCTAATAATAAGATATAAAATATTAAGTATATTTATATTCTTATTAATAATTAAAATTTATAATTATTATTTATAAATTTTTCTTTAATAGTAAATAATCTAAATTTAATTATATTAAATTTATTACTTAGTCTTGTGCTTTTAATATTAAAATTTTTTAATCTTAATATTTATTATAGAAGGTAAATTCTTTTTCTTTTTTTAAGTATTAATATGTTCTTATGCTTCTTATTATAATATCTTTTTATTCTTATTTTTATTTATTTAATGTCTTTTAATAAATTGCTATATAATAATTATATATATATTATTTAAATATTTGCTTTATTAAATGTTTCTTTTTATTTAATATTTTCTTAATTTATCTTTAGAATTCTTCTTAGATTAATAAAATGTAATATTTATCCTATTAATATATTTATAATATTATTTATTATAAACTAA